GTGAGCTGGTGCATCCCTGTACATAGTAGCTGCGATTAACGACTCTAGCGACATAACGTTACCCTGGGACATGGTAAGCTTGCTGAATAAAAATGTATGATCAAAATAAATTTAGAACTAGTCAAAACAATTGTTTAAACCACGTCACAATAACTGCTCCATTGTTGTAAATAGAGCGAAGATCTGATGTGAATGAAAATGATTGAAACGCAATCTGAAACCATATAAATCTAAAATAAACTGATAGTAAGTGATAAAATAAAATTAGTCCCCATGAACTTTAGAGTTGAATAGTATTATTTAAATGTAAGACTATTATAAATGGCCAAAATTTTTGATATCGAAATCCTTAAAAAAATCAATATCAATGGACAGCAGTTTTGAGATTAAGAGAATATAGTCTAAGTCAATGAAAATTCCTTTTTGAAACTCATATTAGTACTACATTTTGAAGACTATTATGATGTTCACTGTAACGAAACCAGACTTAATAATCAATATTAAAATTCAAATGGATGTCAGATGGAAATTGTCACACCATACTTTTTTAGGGTTGCCAAATCATGCATTGCCGGTCCCTGCTCTTTCCTCGCCCTCCAAATTCTAACTGCCGGCACAAACAAACGAGTGAAAGTGGGTACATCTGAACTTATCATCTTCAATCTGCAAGGTGTGGTTATTCCAACAATCATAATCAAAACACAAACCTTTAAACTCTCTATAAAATACAGCTCTAGATATGTTGGCTATCTTGAGTGAAATTATCTTTAAAAAACTCAAATTTACTAAAATATAACAAAACAAAACGTATTGCACGTATTTTAGTTTGTATTTTCATCATAATGAAGCCAATAAAATGATTTCCTGCAGGAAGGCAAGCAGCGGGCATCAGTCATTATCATTATCTGAAGGGAAGATTTGGTCTAACTGATACATTTGCATCTTTACAATTGTCAAGTTATCTTCATCTTATTCCTTTGACTGCAATGGCCCACTTTCTTGTTTCATGGATGTTTGTGAATACAGCAACTTGATTTGATTGTACTCTAGTGAATACAGTACGAGACTTCCTAAAAAAAAACAATTATGTATGTAATCGAAGGCTCTAATTGGCTGTATTCACTGGCGGACAATCCAAAAAAACCGCTGATCGTGCAACAAGAAATTAGGCAAGGTATTAGATGAAGACGTAATACCTTGACCACTGTGAAGTTTTTTTTTTGTCATGGACTTTGTTTTACCTCGCCAATACTGTTTCCAGTGTGGCTTTTGAATAATTACAAAATTAATTCAACGATAGACATCTAAAAAAATGATGGCAATATAATGGAAGCTGTTTTCAATTATATTTCCTGCGTGAATGATATCTCCTCGATATTTGAGTTGATATGGCAGTATGCATCACTGTATCTGAGCGCAGAGGTGGACAGGGATAACGATCTCTAGAAGCTCATCAAATGATTCTTGATCAATTCCTGAAATTGCACAAAAAGCAAATTCCAATGGGTGGATAAGTAGTAGGCTTCCAGAATCCAGTTGATACTACGATCTTCCTTAGCATATTGTACATGAACAATATATATTCTATACAGGCGGGAGATCTTGAGAATAACACAATGTTATCATTTTACAACATTGTGGGAAGTAGAAATCCAGGGACGTGACTTAGTTCTCAGATATTTGATGATGAAATATCCAAATATTGCTGACATTTTATAGTAAAAACGTTAATATGAGGTTAATACGAGAATGATTGTAGAAATAACCTCTCACCTTCTCGTGAATGGTAGATGCTGACACACCGTCATTGAGAATGTTATCATGTGGATTTATTATTCAGCGTGAAGATAGTCTACAACTGTACGAGCCACGTTACGTGACACGTGAATTTTACTATTTTGTGTAGTTTGATGACAAACCGTTCTTATCTGTCATTGCAATATTAGCTTTTATTGCGCCATCTACCCCACGGAGGTGAAATTTTGGAGTATTAAACATTTAGGATTAAATTATTTATTTCTTATTTCTTTCATTATGGAATGTTAAAAGTTCAAATGCGAAGGAGTTATTGAACACTGGATTGTCCTCTGAGAAAACAACTATCTATTTACAAAGCTACAGGAATTTCTCAAGGTATTGGAATATGTATCGGAGTATTACTTGACTCGAAGGTATATATTCCTTCATTACGAATGAATCTTACTCTCGGATTAAACTTTCAATACTTTCATTGATGCAGGTCAAAAGATCCGACATGCAATCGATTTTTGTCGCGGTGACAACATTTGTTCGTTAATCTGAAGGTTCAGGGTTCGCTCTTAGCTTAAGCCCCGATCCCACATAGGCGGATAGCGACGGATTATACGCCAACTAGAATTTGATGGATTGGACACGGAGAAATGGTACAAAATTGGGTGAAATGCATGTTGACAGATGGGTGGCCGAGGGCGGGGTATTAATTACGGACGTCCGATGGCTTAGCCACACAGTACCTAGTACATACGCAGGATCTCACAAGGCTGCGCAACGGATGGGTCTGGGAAGCTCCACGGTAATGAAGGTTGACTCAGAGGCTGCGAGGTATGCAATACGTATGGAGCAGGTAAAATACAAAGCAGCTACGGTAATGAGGTACAAATTGGCGAGTTGTGCATGGTATTGAGGGATTTACTGGGTAGGAAGCAACGTAAAGGAAAGGGTGTCCTGTGGGTGTTTTGTGCAACTATAAAAGGAGCACAATTTAAATTTCATCTCGGTCTATAGCCCCGATCTCACATAGGCGTATTCAAGGCCGTATGAAGAGCAGATGTCCAAATGAGACGATCCGTTTTGTATCCGAGAGAATCCCCACAACGTCCCTCGACACACGTGGGATACGCATTTGATCTGTACTGATACGTAGATTTTGGCGGAAATTTCAAACATGTTTAAAACATCCGTCATTTCTTCCAGGATAAACGTCAGACGTAGATAAATGAAATGCCGTAGAAGCATACTTGCCATACGTAACACTTACCTTGCATCATACGGCCTTGAATTCTCCTATGTGAGATCGGGGCTTTAGGCCGAGATATCACCTTTAAAACCGTCCTTTAAATCGTCCTTACTCGACTAAAATAGATCAGTCGAGCAAATATATTAATTCTATTTTTAGGTTTTAAAAGGAAACTGTCTTAAATCAGATGACCTAAACTCGTCCAGTTGGTCTTTGAAACATCTTTGACCACCTCCACCCCCTCCCTCCTTCCACAGAACGATTAATATAACCGACACTGGAGTAGACAGAATAGACCATCAAAAGAATGTACATATGTGTGCTAATTAATAAGTTTACCCTTATTTAAAATTCCATTCTCACTTCACCTGCAAAAAATATACTCTTCGACAAAATATAAATGTGGGTTAACATCCTCATATTAATACTCAGAATCGACAAGTTACAGCGTTATAAAATACCCTTATTAACGAAACGTTTATTAAGTATTTTTTATCAACACAAGGATGTATAATATTCATAGAAAACCCGATAACAAAGGAAATGAGGTTTTATCATGGTATTAATTGTCTTCCGTGTCATATTGATTCGGAAATGCTTATCTTCTTAATATTTAGTATTCAATACAATAATTGCAACGATCAGTACTTAAAGATCTTCTATATAGAAAATCAAATAAAGAGTTGGCCCATGCCGCTGTACTGCGTTTAACAATTTTTATATTTTCTTACATTTTCTAAACATGCAAATAACATCAGCCCAATAAAGAACATGTTACGATAACGTGGTAAATAGTCATTACCGTATAAAATTGTCATTTCTCTCTCCCATTTTGAAAATTGAAGTGAAAGAAAGGTTAAAATAATTTACGAACTCGTTTTACGGCTCACAGATCAGACACTATTACTGATTATGTAAGCTAAAAAGATTCCTGTTTCTAAAAATAAGGTATGATTGGTAGAACGGATAGTGAAGGTGCTCCTTTAACTAATTTCAGACCAAAACAAAAGAAAACCCAGTAATTCCAAACCGCATATTCCATTTTCTTATGTATTTTTTCCATTCTATGCATTTGGGAGAATCAAACCCTCCCTTCTCAGAAATCCAATGTCTAACCGCGGTTGCTGAATAAACCTGATGCTTAATCACTGGTTACATCTTTTACTTGTATATCGAGAGTCCAAAATCCAACAAACACTAACGGGGCATCAAATTTGCTTTTTTATAAAAGTCTTTTCTAATTTTCCAAAACTCTATAAACACTAAAGGTGATCTGAAAATGATTGTTGTGAAGGAAGAATATGCGACAAACTACTTACATGTCCTTTTCATAATCACAATCATATTGTTTCTAGTCTAGTGATTATGTTATTTGTATGTAAATACAATGATCAATTACATATTATGGCTTCATTATTATTCATTTTTATCTCTGTTACTATTGATGACAACTTCACTATTGGTTCCGAGGTCGAGGTTTGTGTTCCTTTGATGTTATGAAATAGTTTGTGGTCATTTATCAGTCCCCAAACCTGGTAGGACCGTAGCTAGCACGAGCATGAACCCAAGGCCGATTGCACCAGATGTGCCCAAGAAGGTATGTATAGTGTTCAATGTTGCTCAAAGGCTCCTGAATATGTTTCCAAAAAAATACAACCGACAGACCAAACAAGAGGAGCGGGTACAATCGGAACCAATGTGTCATTTGCTCGTTCCACAAGGTCGCAGCCCAATTTCTGACTTTTTGTTGAATAGGTGGAGATGAGATTTGGACATAATACTCTTTACCACAAAATCCGGAATGTTTTAGGTAAATATGTGATTTTATAATCATATGGTAATGGTCTGCAATTGATCATCAGAGTATATCAAATAGCGATGATAATAAATTATCATATTTGCCGCTCGCATTTATTTGGAAGAATTCGATAATCAACTTATCACGTGATAGCCTAAAACTGTATAAATAAAGGAAACATTTTAAATTTCATAGCAAACCGTAAAAATGAATCTGACAGGTGTGCTAACACTTCTATTTCTGATTACGGTCAAAGCGTCGTGTCCGTGGGACGATACTAAGCTGGTAGCATGGAGTAGCGTGTCTACATGGGGTGGATCAGTACCAGTAGAAGACGAAGCAGTAGTTATATCGGGAAAGAAGGTTTTGTTAGATATTAGTCCACCTGCCCTCAAGTCTATTACTGTCGAGACTGGTGGTGTTTTAGTGTGGGGTAATGTTGATGGTATAAAACTGGTAGTGGATCATATACTGGTCAAGGGTGAATTCCATATCGGTGCTGAACAATGTCGATTCACCAATAAGGCACATATCCTATTGACAGGTATATTTTTATTTCACATCATTGCGCATTGAGTTGCTCGTCCTCATTAGCCCGAACAGGCACAGAAAAGTATATTATATATTTGACAGTTTTTGGTTAATACAATATCGTGTGACTGAAGGTTAACGAGTCACTTTCGACGAGCAACTCTTCAACAAGCAAACCAGTTATCGCTTCTCTAAATTTGATTTACTTTCATGCAGATTTCATAAAATATTATAACCGGACCAGAAATTGATTAACTTGAATGTAAAAGTAAGATTTAATGACTGTTGTCTGATGTTTAGAATCAGTAGTGTATTAAGATGGTGGGCCATTGGGCATGTGAAAGATCTTATTTTTCAATGACAATTAAGTCGAATAAAGTCTTTGAATGGCATTTAGCAATTGTGCGTACGATATATAGACACAGCTTTATGGAACAACAATCACTGAGAAACACATCGAAACGTTGCATAAAACTTTAACCAATGATTGTTGTTCCATAAAGCTGTGTCTATATATATGACAATTTAGTCCTCTTAATGCTAAAATTTCATCTCAGACCATCTGAAAACGTTGGTCCTTGGAGGCCTGTGGCAGCCCCCAGACCAACGACTTCAAGAGGTTTCGGAGCGGCAATTGGGAGAACACCTATCTTTTTCGGCCCCACCCCAGGAATTTCTAGATACGCCCCACATTGAGGTCTCAAGATCCAATAATCTGTATCGAACTCCATTGCAAATAATATGTTGAAAAGTTATATACAGGTGACAATTTAGTCAGATTGATTATATACATTTTAGCGACAAATGGCAATAAATAAATGAAAAAAAAAGTGACAAATCGATAAATATACGGTAACATCACAGTCCTTTATAAAAATTTGCATGACTGAATTTAATCAATACTATAGTTGTCCTTTTCTGTTGCAATATCCTACAAAGAGTGCTTACACTCCGAAAGTGAGTCGTTATTTCTAAGCGTATTTGAGATTATTGATTACCTTGATACTATGAGAGAGTCAACAATTTAAGAATACCTCTGAAAGTATTTCTCAAGTAAATTTGGCAGCTACTTTTGATATTTGCAATTGCCAACGCGGCACACACGTGTTTTCAAAGGACCGGCATAGCCTGCCTATCCGCGTGCCTATTTGTCTTGAAAAGGTAAAATTATTATAATAGCAGTAAAATGAATTAAAATGTTTTACAAGCATTATTGAATGAATGAATTGTTGTTGAATGAATCACGAACTCGTTATTCTTTAATGTGCTCTCCGAACAAAAATATGAAAATACAATATTGGAGCTTTCATTTCATGAAACGCCAGAAATTTGAGTACCCTGTGATAGAATTTTTGGATTAATCTGAGGCCATGGTAGAGTCAACAATTTTTGGACTAGCCTGGGACCATGATAAAAGACAATACGTTTAAACTACTCTGGGACCATGATAAAGTCAGTAAGTTTGAACTACTCTGAAACCATGATAAAGTCAGTAAGTTTGAACTACTTTGGGACCATGATAAAGTCAATAAGTTTGAACTACTCTGAAACCATGATAAAGTCAGTAAGTTTGAACTACTTTGGGACCATTATAAAGTCAATACGTTTGAACTTCTCTGGGACCATGCATGATAAAGTCAGTAAGTTTGAAGTACTCTGGGACCATGATAAAGTCAATAATCTTGAACTACTCTGAACTATGATAAAGTCAGTAAGTTTGAACCACTCTGGGACCATGATAAAGTCAATAATCTTGAACTACTCTGGGACCATGATAAAGTCAATAATCTTGAACTACTCTGGGACCATGATAAAGTCAATAATCTTGAACTACTCTGGGATCATGATAAAGTCAATAAGTTTGAACTACTCTGGGACCATGATAGATTCAAGTTTTGGACCAGTCTGAACAAAGTTTGGTCTGAATTCTAGTTACAGCCAGTATGTTCCGGAATAATCCGAGACCATGGTAGAGTCAAAAAGTTTTGAGTGCTGAGAAAAGGTTCGGATAAGACTAGTTGTTTAAGACTAGATGCTTAGTAATGTCAGCGAGATAAAAAAAAAAAAAGAACGTTCAAACGGAGCAGATAAAAGGTTTTTCGTCATCCAATTTCGGACAAGTCAAAATATGTCTAGTCATGGTCTAGTTAGATTCTGTAATTTGGAAACCAACCATAAAGATTAAAGTCAAGTATACTAAGGTTTATTCAATAATCAGTACGTATAGGATTATTTTTTTAAATATTGCCGCTTGACGCCTTTTAACCCTGCGATATTTTCCTTATTTTTTATTAAAACGTTTTGTTTTCCATTCAGTTGAAGTATGATCATCAACGCTATGCAACGCTTTGCTGTATTGAACTCAGGCAAGCCAAAGCAATGCGAGCTTGTAATATACAAGCTTAAAATTTTTATTCAAGCCACGATAATTAAAAACTATATGAAATAAATGAAATTCATATTTTTCTGATTATTAGGAAATTCTGCACATTTACATAAGAACAAATTCATTTGGCCATTTGACCTATCAAAATATTTTCCACCTGTGAAGACACACGCTTTGATATACTTTCTGGATATCTAAACAGCTTGATTTATCGTTCATTAACTTTTTAAGCTGAACCGGATTTTGATTATGGTTAACGTCAATCTATTAAGGCCTATAAGCAGATTATATTTTTAAATATTTTTTGCTTTCTGATATTTTATCAGAAAACAAAAGATACGTAATTGTAGTTTTAATAATATTGGGCTTACGTATGACTTCGAAAATGTTTTCATTATACATGATATTGCTTGAACATGCTTTAGGCCTTGAAACAATTAATTTGCGCCAAATATATGCAAGAATAAAATACAACAAGTAAAAACAATCCCTGCAGATTGTATTTTTAAAAATTATTTTGGCTGCATTGTCATAATGTTTTCTCCATTTTGAGTCAAGGTTTGGCTCCTATGTGTTATAATTTATCATGGTTCATTCTTAGCTTTTGAAAGCTAACTATGAAAGTTAACAATGAATAACCCATAGGAATTAAACAGAGAATTTGCTTGATTCAATGTCTTTTTGAGGGATTTTCAACCTTTGTCTTACTATTACCCCTTTCAGGATCCTTGTTGGATTGCATTACTCCATTCTCCATTCTCAAAATATTTTATACTAGACTACAAAACGCCTCATTACCCCAGAAATTAGCCCCTCGGGGGTTCTCATATCAGAAATTTGGTGTAGTCATCCTAAGTATATACGTAATTATTAATATTACAGGTTTCCCCAATACAACAAACACCGTGTCTGGATTTGGTAGTAAATTTATTGGTGTTCCTGAAGGAGGTACCCTGGAAATACATGGTGCTGATAAACTACCATTTACCAAATTGATGCAAACAATATCTGCTGAAACCTTGACATGTGGTGTTCTTTATACTCATAGGGTATGTGAAAAAAGAAACATCTTACTGTAATTGCCCCTCACTACCAACACGTTTGGGTTTCGGAAATTTGCCTATAAGTAAGAGAACAATGTTAGATTAGAACGGGAACGGATTGAAACCTCGTCAGGAAAAGCAATTGGCAATAAGAATGTCTATTGGCCTTAGTCATTATTCCACTCGACTCAGCAGACAAACCGGTTAATACCCAATGGTAAAATTTAGTGTCCTTTGTATAGGGTTGATGCCCCAAAAGACGTTGATCACGAATGTATTTTCTCAAGCAGTAGTTACTACAGAGATTCAAATCCTCTCAAACCCTTACGTTCGCAATTTTTCTTCTTTTTTTTTTGCAGAATAGTTCATTTTCCGAAGAAGATAGATTTGGTCTCCATGTAACTATATGGAGAGATGATGGTTCTCTATATGATTTCAATGTTTATCCACTGGGTGATTCATCTGTAATCAATCCTGAACAGGATTTTAAAGATTTTGTGGATGGTGAGTTCTGTTATTTCTGCTAAATGTCAGTGCATTTATCTCACCAACTTATTACGCATCCTGGGATAGTTCGATATAGTGTTCTCTTCTCAATTTTCAACTGGTTAATCTCAGCAATGCAGGTCTGGTTGTTCCGATGAGACAATAAATTGAGACCCCGCGTGCTACAGACACATTAAATTAAAAAATGAGCAGGATAAGGCTGCTGACAAATTTTCTTATACACTCTTGTGGCATTATCTATTTGCATAACTAGGAGCAGAAAGAAGGGCTTACAACTCTATTTTTATTCAGGTGTTGATGATGGTTTGATAGTAGGTGTAGCTGTTTATGGTGACATCGGTGTCAATTTGATCCCAAATAGAAATTGGGAACTTGTTTATTCTAGTGTTGAAAAACTTGGTGGATTAACTTCCGGTTCAAGTGAAATCCGCAATGTTCAGTCCAAAGATGCTTATGCGTTCATTACTAAAACAGGTTAAGAACAAATTACTTATTATTACTAATGATTATTATTATTAATTAAAATTTTGTTCTAAAATTTTGTCGTTCAAACATAGTTTAGCCTTTTTGTGCAAATGGACGTGGTGAATTGTATTATCAAACTAGCAGAAGACAAGGTTTCTTCTGTACACCGTACATCGCAGATGACACCGTGTCTCATCAATCCGGTTATTTTAAGTCAATGTAACACAATATATTTTGCCTTGTCCTTAGGGATTAAATACTACTGCTCTGTTCGATATTATTTCGCTCTATTTTAATGTTAAAAACTAGCCTTGATCTCAACGCCCCAATATCTAGTTAAATCGTATGTGTAATCCTGGTTGTCCAAGTTCTGTCCTCATACAACAGTGTACCTCATTACAGGAGAAGGTTCCTCGACGAAAGAGGAAAGAGCAAAATCATTATACCTCCAAGAGTCTACTGCAACGTCTAAACAAAAGTATAGCAGTATTGCTCGGGGATTGGAATTCAGAAGTAGAAGCATTGTCAAAGCTGTCACTAAAACTAAGATAGAGAATCAGGTCGACTTTGATGTGGTATCAACTACATTTTCCCAACCTATTATAACTGTTCGAGATGATGTGTCGTCTTGGAATGTAGGTATGTATGTTTCGTAGATAATGAATGAATGAATGTACAATACGATCTGATCTGGAAAAAAGAGCATTCTATAAGAAAATCGCTTCCTTTGTACTTTGCTAGATTAAAATGTAAGGCTAAGTTTTAGTCACGGAGACTTCAAATTGACTATACAAGACTGTAACTACACCACTGGCAAATTTGTCAGGCCGAATTTAAATATGAGAATAACAAGTCAAGGCTTACAAAGCAAAATAAAAGAAGATTTGATTGGAGAAAAAATGCCAATATCTTACGTAATGTTACGTTAGAATGTTACCATTTTAAGATCTATAGTCTAGTATTAAAATATCCACCCCAGTGGAATAGTGAATTCAGTTATTTTTGATCATTCAAAGACGAAAAAGTATTAACAAATTGTCAACCTTACGGTCAAGGTTTTCTATTGTCTGTTGGACTTTGATTTCCAAGGAAATATTTTGAGAGAAATAGATCAGTTGCCTCCTTGGGCCAAGCTAGTCATTAAATTTAGTAATGATGTCAAACAAGAAATTGCATTGGTGCAAAACTGCCAAGTCAAGTTTTGGGCTGGTATAAATCCTGTAAACCTGTAAAAGGATAAATTGGACTAATTTGAAACAGTAAATGTTCCAAAGAGGAGATCGTATATGTTAATTCTGTATCCGATAACATCAATATCTCACAGCCTTAATAATCTAGATTGAACAAGTCTCATTCGCCAATGACGAAAAATCTACATCATTTCATCCTCATCTATCCATTATCATCTTTTTTCATAATGATTTATAATCAAATCAAGTTTTCTTATTTTCAACTGGACTATTTAACTGCAGAACTGTATTAGTGGGCTGGGAAATGTAGATGCTCGAATTGACGAGAACTTGGGGCCAAAATATACTGATGTACCTTACCTTACATGAAAGTTTTAACTAAACTACTTTAATTTTTAGAACGCCAAATCTATTAAATTAGTGTACGTTAACCAAGTCGCGGTGTTTCTTGGTTGATGTTGGAAAATTTAACATACTAACCATTTAAACAAATGATCGGTTTTCGTGTGAGGGAAAAAACGGTTTTAAGCCATGCTCGTCCTACTTTTATCATGAAAAATTTATTGTATTGAAGGTGACAAGATCATTATTACATCTACCAGTTTTGATTGGAAACAAGTAGAGAAATTTACTCTGTTGGAATGTTCAGAATGTACAAGCAAACAGATCAAACTAAACAGTAATGTATCGTTTTCATATTCATTTATTTTGTATGTGTTGGTAACAGTGTTTCCACCCTCACATATAGCATACTTTGGTGTAAAGGGACAAGTGTGCCCCTTTTTTTACCAATCGTACCTTAGTCTCAGAAAAGTTTTTTTAACTAAACCAATCAGTAATAGTATTCACAGCTCGCCGTCAAAATCCATGTTTGTTCAGAAATATCCGCGTTTAAAAGTTAAAAAGACGAATCGTCTTGTCTTATATAGAAAATACATCTGTTGAAATAAGAAGAGAAATTCCTAGTTTGAGATGTTTTTTTTAAGGAATTATGCGATTTTCGTACATTTCGAGTACTTCTGAACTTTTATATTCACCCTCGGATATGGGTAGGCGGTACATCCTTTAAAATGTATGGCGAGATTAATCACACCTGAGGATGTTTGCCAGCTTGCGTAAGTGCTAATGAGCCTTTTTATATAAAACATCGTGAAAATTGTCAATAACTAAATGTCAAGATGAAGATTATCCAAAACGTCTTGTAGAAACTTAACAGTAAAAATGGAAAGTGCAGCCATAGAATTCCATTTTGGTTCCAATCAGGCCTTATCTTCTACATAATCAAACAATGACTTTGTATTGTTAATCATCCGACTTAATTTATATTTAGACAACGTCCAGCTATTACGAACTTCGTACTAATACCTTGAGTTTCTTGTATCACGGAATTCGGCGACGCTTTGTGTTGACATTATTTTCTGTTTAGGTCCTGATTGGCTGTATTCGCTAGCGTACAATCCAATGAAATCACTTTATTTACATACTTCCATCATACGAAGTATAATAATAACTTGAATAAGATGATTTAGACCATGTCCTAACTTTTCACAAGCGTTTATGAACTAAGGGATGTAACTCCAGTACAATATTTTTCTTAATCTTGACTCCAACGATGTACTACAAAGGATAAGTTTAAAAACTCGGTTTTATCTATGAATGTAATAATAAATAATAAGTTTTCCCTTGATACATCATTAGTCGGTTTACTTTTTTTTTTGTACAAAACATTTCTAGAAACTTACTTTTTAGCAATGGTGGTCAGACACTGAAATATTAAGCTAAAGAGCTTTGGTTCTTTTAGATGTAGGTTTTCAACCACAGGGAATTGTCATGGGAATTTTGGATATCCATTTCTAATTTCACTTTCGATATCTGGGAATATATTTGATTTGGGGACACATACAAAAACCGGTTAAAAACACCGAAAACAACACATAATACTGTTTGTTAAAATATTATGTTTATTGTTTTCAACACCTATATTTCCCTTTTAAACTTGTGATCATACAATCATCGGAAAAGTTAGAAACAGAACAACAGATCTTTTGTTTGTCTTAATGAAAGTTTTTGTTGTTTTGATGTTTGATTATGTTTTTATGATAGTTTTGTTATGTTTTTATGATAGTTTTGTTATGTTTTTATGATAGTTTTTATGTTTTATGAAAAATATTTGGTATATTTTAAATTTAGTTTGTTATATTTTTATCCTGAGTTTTATCATATTTGGTTATGTTAAGATTGTAAGTTTTAAGTTTTTAGGATAAGAATGTATATTTCATTATGTATTAAAATAAATACTTTGCGTTTCAGGCGATTTCCAGTATCCACATTTTGGGGAAATAACTCACGGTGTGGATGAACGAGCGGAAGTAGCTCTCTTAACAAGAAACATACTGATAGAAGGAGGCCTACAAGAGCAATGTTATCATACCACTGATGCTGAAGCTGATTTGTGTCAAAAATTTCAAAGAGACACATTTGGTGGTCATGTTAAGGTATGATACTTTTCAAGCGAATGAATAATTGTTTGAGATTATATAAGCCGCAAGTTTTTGTAGTAAAGCAACTGATGTCGAAGAAACCATCTGAAATATTATTTCGATTCAGTCACCATTAGCTTACCTAACCGCGATTTGAAGTGGTTATGGTCATGACAATTCGATTTGTGCTCTAATCGAACCATAGCAATTTACATATTCAGACTCTAATATGAATCAAATCTTTTTAGTTTTTGCGAGGGTTTAAAGCGGTTCACATTGAAGGTGTAGAGCTATATCACATGGGCCAGCAACTAATTATAGGTGAGATATTCATACTTAACAAAACTAATGGTAAACCTAAATTTAAGAATCCTCAAACGAGGACCGACATTCCAAAAAAGCTTCCTTTTTCCCATACTGCAAAGATTTATAATGGCCTAGAAAATAATGGTCATGGGATCTCAGAAGACGTGACATTCCATCTTCTTTGGACACCTAGCTCGTCAAGCTATTAGATTTTGAAAGTAGTTTATAGCTATTAGTTTCGGACTTTGTGTTTTCCTGAATCTGAATATTGCATTTTTCCATTTTTAAAGGTACATATCCACTTCATTTTCACATGTGTGATGATGTGGACGATAGTTGGGTTCGTCAAAACAGTATTCATAATACTAATAATAGATGTGTTACTATTCATGGTTCTGATGGAGCTGAGGTACGTCATCAGAATCTAATATGAAAAAAAAACAATGTATTAGCATAATTTTAAAGTTAATGCTGAATTTGCACCAATTGCATATTCATAAATCATAAATGGTTGACCGTTTTGGGTTTCGATCGCAAAGCAACTCCTGAAAATGGCAAATCATGGGCATTAACAACAAACAATTGAACCGTTAATCGCCATCAACTTTATGTCAATTTTATTGTCTCATTGTAAATTTGGCCAATCACCATATCTCATAATCATATTTATCAAACATCGTGTACTAGTCTGTTAGTCCCAAGAAAAACTAGATGACATTAAGAAAACCCAAACTTTATAAGGGAGTTACATGTATATATGAAGAGTTGACCAGAGTAAGTTCTAGTATTTCATAGGTGAATCACTTTTCTTATTAGATCAAGGACAATGTATGTTTTGATCATATTGGACATGGGTATTTTCTGGAGGATAGTGCTGAGATCAGAAATGTATTGGATGGCAATTTAGGTGTTGGAACACGATTCGGAACCCAACTACTGACCGACAAACGATCTGACTGGTGTGGCAGTGTTCAAAAGAAATCTTGTGGGTAAGTATAAAAGCAGGCGGGAAGATTTCCTAAAATTCTATTTATTGACAGCTTCTTTGCCATCTCTACAACCCCAAGCTATTAAGAACTTCGCTTTGTGCAATAGACACCTTTCTTGCATCATGGAATGCATTGATTGGATTGTACGACAGCGAATACAGCCAATCATGGGTTTGGGCAAACAGACAGTTAAAATTATGGCTTATTGTTAGCAGACATTCTGTCGAGGACTCTGATTGGCTGTATCTGCTAACGTACGATCCAATCAAATCAATACATTTACAAACCTCTGTGACACAGGACACAACACAGCTTGTGAAGATGATTTGGAGGTTAAAGTCGATGTCAGCGTTATATAGACAATTGAAATACAACTCGTTATGGTGCTTCCGCATTTCTATTCTAAACCCGACAGTTGAACCCCCATGATTGTAAATATTATACCTTGCCTCCACTGAACTTCGTTTGTTAATTTTGCTACATTTGATAAAGATCAGTGAAATCTTGTCGAAACAACTGTACTGCGAACTGTACTGATTCTAGATTGAGAATAATCTTTCTGGTCTGGTCAGACTTTTCAGTTGGAGTTTATTCAATACGATTATACGATTATAATTTATTGGGATTTGAAAAGGAATAGAAGGAAGATCATTTTTTCATTTATCAACTTTTGTTTCATTCTGAAAAATGTAACCAATTTTTTTGCAGACACCCAGCTACATTTTGGATAACTCATCCAATGAATTATTTTAGAAATAACGTTGCTGCTGGATCAGAGGTAAGAACATAACGATATAGCTAACAGAGCTTAATGTCAAAAGGCTTATTAAGTTATATATATTTTGAAAGGTTAATGTACTGATTTTGTTTGGTCCATGTTTATGCACACTAAATACTTCTCAAGATTGTATATTAGGAAGCTGAAACTTTTACACATCAACTGTCCTGATGAGAGTTAATATCTGAAACATGTGTCGGTAGCTTACGATGAGCTCTTATCAGTTGTCTTTAGAGCTTAATTTTGTATTTCTATTGCTTTGAGACGTTAACTACAGTCAAAAAGAGATTTACATTTCTTGATTCTGAAATCAATGGTCTCAAACCATTGGATTGAAAAAGTAGCTCATCATTGTGTGGTGGCGGTAAAGAAGATAATGTGAGAACTAAGAATGGTTGATATGAATGATATCATGTTAAATGTTGGGATAAACTTTGGAAAAACAATTTCGGATCAAAAGTTTGCATCTGTTCATTAAAAGTCGCGTGTTCCTTTGTAGAAAAATGGATTCCACATCGTTTATGCATATGAACCATTGACATCATCAAAAGCTCGTCAAGAAATCCGAAAGAAAGTGTTCCGTATGCATGCTAGAAGATCTAAATTAGGGCAGTTCGATGATAACGTGGCCCACTCTAATTTAGGAGTAAGTATGCCTTATTACTCGAACATGTAGTTGATATCAACTTTGAAAAAGTCATGCTCACTTTCCCGATACAACCAATATCATTCTTCTTCTGCTCTTGACTTAATGTTTAAATGATAGAATCAATGCGGAATTATTATAACAGTATCGTCATATGCGATTAAATCCATTTGTTATTTGAATAGCACACATTTAAGGTTCTTCGAGGTTTGTTTCCAAAATCAAATTGGACAACATTCAGAAACAGTCAAATGTTAAAGGAACAGATCCGCATTAGACAGTTAAAGGACGACTCCTGTTTTCTTGAAACTCTGCCATATATAAGAAAGCTTATATAGAAAAGGAAAAAGAAATTCCTAGCTTGAGGTATTTTTGAAGGAATTATGCTATTTTCGTACATTTTTAATAATTTTGAAGATTATTTACATATATAAATATATAATCATCCCAAGAAAATATTTGTTAGTTTGGTCTAATGATGGATAATCTGATATCTATGGGCCAAATCGACCTCCTGACGAATGAGTTTGTACCAGAGAATGGATTACTTGGTTCTAGTGGGTATGATCCTCGAGAAGATCCTTCAGTAAGAAACTCACCCAGGGCAACTAATCATATAAGACGGTATGTCCGCAGATCTTTAACCGCGTTTTCTGCTCAACTAACTCACCTCTCTTGGGGGTTTTGTTGGGGTGTTACAAAACATATGAACTTGCAATATTTCACGTTATCCAAACCAAGTTGCAAACTCGAACGTTTACAAACTAAACCATCAGATTAACACGACATTCATCAACAGTACCTGCGTCCTGAATCAGACCACCGTACATTATCAACCAGTCCAAGTAACTCTTCTCACCATCCCCGAAATCAGTGTGATCTGTATTTCACGAAGATACTGCTTTCTCTCTGAAACCCTGAAGCCGTATTATCTGTCATAGCCTGTTTTCGGAATACCTACGTGTTTGTAGCTATTAGCTATTAACTACCGTACATGTAAATTCCAAGAGTTCTGTAATACACATCCTTGTTCGTACATCCAACTTGGCATTTCTATTGTAATCATGTCAGATCGGGTTGCATTAAATTGGACTCATATTATCTGAATTATTCAATTGTAACATTGAAACATTATCCGATTATGCGACTTTTTTCAGGTTCACTTCCTACAAGAATTTGAACAATATCTGGACTCGAGGTGGAAATCTGATCATTCATAATTCTAGGTAGGCATGGTGAATACTTTATCCCACCAAACGTAATATCCGGTTTTATTATGATGGAATTACATAAATTTATGGAATTTGAAATGATACAAATGGCCGTCAAGTATTCCCAAAGCACTTAAAAGACCACGAAACATCTTTATCCATTCAATGAATTACCATTTCAGTTTCGCTGATGGTGAAACGAGTATTTCGTTAACCAGGAGTGTTTTAGATACCGTACAAGACGTAAGACGGAGTGTAATTATTGGCAATAGTGATAATAAAGGACTTGGATTCAAATTTACTTATGGTAAAATACCAGCGAAACCTTCACATTACTTTGAACGAGAGCTACCAAAAGAGTCTAATCCGTAAGTTTTTACCCGGGGGGGGGGGGGGGGGGGGGGTATTCTTAGAACTTCATTGAACAGTACCCTTTCATAAAGAGAAGGGTGTACTTCTATTAAATTCAATAACTCGTAATGCAAAATATATTGTTGTTGACCATCCTCTATGCTAAAACCCAGAATAAATAGATGCCTTGCAATGGCTGCGCCAGTCTAACGAGAGGGGCAAATGAGGGGACAACTGTCGAGGCTGAATTCAAAATGCGACAGCTCTTACCGCATTGGCACAAAAAAAATTGTTTCTGTCTTTCAGATTCAACCCCATGGTAGGAATAGAATTCTTCAATGGACCAGTCCTCGTAACAGATTCCATTTTTGATAAGTTTTATCACCAAGTATGGGATCCAACATGGGAAAAACAATATGGTGTTAAAGCCATGCGACCTGGTACTGCTATGGGGTTCAGAAAGAATTTTCCCTACCCATCGTTTCCTCATAGTGGTCCTCGTAACGTTAGATTTGGATTCTGTGATAAGGTAATTTTCCAGAATTTAAGAGCTATTTGAATCTGGTATATTGCGATATTGATTGTAGAGTGTGTGAATATACTCAATCTAAAACAACAAATATACTTTTTACTCTGCCAGACGTAACATAACAGAAATCAATATTAATTGAAGAAAAAATCAAATTTCGGTTTGGGGGATATTGTATTGAATTTCTTGTGACTATTGACAGATAAGATGAAAAGATTCAAAATACTGGCAAAAAAAAACAAAAATAAATCCCCCCACCCTTTAAAAAAAAAAAGCCAAAACACACCTGCGTGCTGTAGCGGATGTCAATAACGATTACTTATTAATTAGGTAAAACATTTTTTGATAGGTAGATGGTCTGAGTGTATTTGCTGGTGATACATCTCTACTGGCTTATGCTGACCCTAAAGATGGAGATAGACAAGCGACAATAAGAGATATAACAGGGTCTGTGACGGGTATACCTGATGTTCAGTTGGTTAGAAATACACCATTCTTTATGGACACTGATTGTTATTATGATCAGGTGTATCAAATGTCGGTTTGTCCCCATTGGTATTCTAAGGTATGTGTGATTATTAATGCCGCATAACAGACACGTAGTCAAGCTCCACCCCCCCCCCCCCCCCTACCCCACCCCCAAAAACATTTAACTATATACTGGCCGGCCGCGTAATGTTTCTACCCTGGATTACAAATTAAAATTGTTGTGCACTCACAATGACTGCCACTTTCGGTAATCATGATGTGTACAGAAAGAAACAACATGTTAAGACAACACTTAGGTTTACGAAGATCTTTTCTACCAGTTGGTCCTTGGTCAAACCTGTTGGTATTGATCTTTACTGGATTTAAAAAAAAGTCTCATTCAAAATTTGCTTGATATTCGAGAACTATGGATTGTTTTAGACTCATTTGAGAGGATCAGATGGTGTATTTAAAGACAAGAAAGATGACTACCCTATGTTCATGGTGAGAGATGATGATCCTGAAAACCCATTTGCTCTGAAAGGTAGATTTGCCCACACTTTTTTATATACTGACTTTGTGAACTAACATTTATTTCTTCTTTATTTTGAAATCGGGTGTATAGAACACTTTTTCATTCCATATTTTTGTAGGTGCTGATATCACATCCGAATATCATGTCCAAGGAAAGGGTAAGGCCCGATTTGTCGGGCTAATAGCGCTGTAGCGATTTCTCATATCCAGTAAATTCCTGCTTTTACATTAATAGTGATTAAGATCAGCAAAAATATGGTTTAAGGAATAATATTTATTGCAAAGTTTTCATGAGTTAACAGCTTTAAATACCGAGCCCAAATATGATGAACCAATTTCATTAACCATACCTCGGACGTGATAATTGGATTGGATATCGCACGTTTAGGTCGGACATAGAGTTTCACTTTCTATTACTCTGATCCATTTCTTGGATCGCTATTTTTAAACATTTCATTTTTTCTTTTTTGGCACAACGTTTGGTAATAATAAAAAGCGGAATGAGTCCATCGAGACTTAACCGGATATTCTACAATGAATATCACAGAATATCCGATAATGTCTTCATGAACTCACTAATGGTTCAGTTTTGTATAGATACCGGAAGTTATGTCAACTTGGCTTTTAAAATGCTGGCTTAAAAACAAATGATAAAAAACTCATATATGTCTGGTCCTATAAATGTTCCGATATCCAACCATATATCACGTGGGAGGAGTAGGTAGAGCCAGATTCAATTCGAGGGAGAAATGTACATTTGAAAAGCATTAATTCTGTTTCCATTGTGGTATAGGTGATAAAGGGTTGACGTATTTGACTATGCAGAATAAATCATATATAGCTGTTTTTAATGGAACCAATCCAACTAGTATTAAAATTAGATCCAATAACATACAATAGTAAGTTTTATTCGTAGAATTCATTGACAAGTTTTGCTCAAAATTTGCTTCCCGTCATGTTTATGTCTGTGATGTTCCTCACTGATAACGTCAAGCAGCAACAGTCCGCTTCAACATTTATGGCTCATCCAGTGATCAGCTATTCCTATAGATTTCTATTTTTGTAAATTTGGCCATGTTACAAGTACTGCTCAAATGAAATACGCCAAAATTCTGCTGTACAAAGCGGTTTGTGTCAAAAAGCAATTCTGTCGCTATGTAAAATCGTCATCGGCTGATTATAATTAACAAAGATATGTCTAATATTGAATAGTGGGATCTTGTCTCTTCAGTGGAAACTGGATCAGAGTTGGTATATGTTTCCCCAAATCAACTACCTCATTTACAATTAGAGCTACCTATCCAGAAATTGACGACAAAAATCCGCCAATAAGTGTATCGTCAATAGAAGCTTTGGAAGAAGATGAAACTGGCCGAGCTTATTTCTGGGACAAGAAAACTGGGTATACATTGCCTATACAAACTAATTTAAGAATATATGAAATAATTCGAAATGTTGATCTGACGTCAGATTTGTGTATAATTAGCTTCCATTCTCCAAAATGATAAGAGGGGGAAATATTTCGAGCAAAGAAGAGAGACACTAATTCAACCGAACCATAATCCGAACCATTCGATCCAAGGTGTGGAACCAATGCAGTTTGGGTACTTTCCAATTACATGTACATTTGTATTTTATAGGTTATTTTTTGTTCGTTTCGTTGGGCGATTACAAAGAACGGGGTATGAGGAATGTCCAGGATATAAGTGTCCGGAGTATAGAATAACTAGAAACGATGGAGGATCAGCTGTAACTGACTGCACAAGTGACGCTTATGGTGCTTATAAAAAATCCAAATCAACAAGGGTAAGAGTCTAGAAGTTCGACCAATGCTCATTGCACAAAAGACCAATCTATCTGAACAACCCCAGTTATTTGTTCGACACCACAACCTTTTAAAAATTTACAAGAAAATGAACATAAGAAGGTCTCCAGTAATAAAACATCAATATTATGACATTCTCAAGTATTCTGTGGATAACTACTCTAATTACTCTATCGAAGACTTACCCTGTGCCAGTACCTTCTGTTGAATAGTGATTAGTTGTTTGTCAATAGTAACTGGTTTCTTGTCAACCACCCTAATTGTAATCGAAGGCTCTTAAACGTGATTCTGTTCATTTTCAGGAACCGATTGTTCCACCGAACACACCTTGTGTTAGAGCCTCTACTGTGGTGAGTACCTCATTATATGGAATCACCAAGATGACTTTCAATGTTACCTCTACAGAATGTTTCATCAATTGAAATAAAGACTGTTGCTTTAGAGGAAATATTTTGAAGTCTTCGGGAAAATTTGTTTTTGATAGCATTAAATCTTAGCGTCATTCAGAAGTTTCTTAATAGCAGTAACTATTTAACAATCTATACAGTGGCGTTTCGAGGGAGAGGTTGATTTAACATAGGTAAATAAATATCCCTCCCTTTTTACTTTGCCCCCTCATCTAATGATTCCTAAAAACGCTACTTTATCTATCTACACCCAATGTCAATATTCGAAGGATCTGTTTTTCTCCTTCACGAGTCTCCGAAACTAGAGGCAAAAACAATCCCTCAATATTATTTGCTTTCCTTTATTGAATCGAGACGACATTCAATTTCATTGTAGGGATATGGAGCAACATCACCATCAGAACTGTCTATAACCGTACCAAAATTTCCCACATCCTGTCCGGCATTACCTGCCCACGGTAAGCTCCAATATGATAAAATTCAAATCTGGATGTTCCAATTCGTGTTTGTTTTTCTGCTATAGATCTACACCATCCATGAAATTTTTTACGTAACTTCTATAATGGGTCATTTAATATCCAAGGCTAGTAAGGTGAAGAAAGGCGGAATGTAAAAAAGCAGTGACTTTGTAAAAGAACACATACGTGGCTGCAGAATAATGTATTCTGAAAGTATGGGCATACCATGACTCTATAAATTTTATGCTTCAGAGAAACCAACACGTGAATACAGAGGATGTTATGCCACCACATCCCCAGCTTACCTTACAGCTGGCCGAACTCAAGTTTTAACGGAGTCAATGACCATTGATCTATGTGTAACGCGATGTTTTAATATGGCTAACAAGTATGCTACAGTTGCATTGGGCAGTACCTGTAGATGCAGCAATGATTTCAATATCCAGGGTCAACCATCCAAGTTTTGTGGAAAAGCTTGTACAGGCAATCAAGAAGAGATTTGTGGTGGAAATTCAGCTTATGGAGTATATGAAACGGGAGCTGGTAAGTATTTTCGACGTATGCTCGGTGAGATTCTGGCAGAAAATAACCAGCAAAAATGTCGATTTGTCATTTTCAAATCGACAATACATTGGTAGCAGTTAGTGAACAATTCATAGAGGAAGTATTTCCTAATGAAAAGTGGTATCAGGTGTGAAGAGTAAGAACACCGTGCCAGGCGTCACACCCGCCAAAAAGATTTAACAAATTGAAATCGGAGACAAGTGATTGTAATACGCATATCATTCTAGGTTCTATAAGTATCTCGACTAGCTGTGGTTCTGGTAATGAAGGTGTTTTAATCGAAGGCAAATGTTATATCTATAAAGCGGATGCAGTAACCTATGTAGAAGCCGAAAAACAGTGTAGGCTATTAGGTGGAAACTTGGCTTCCATACCAAATTCAAGTGTTCAGGTGAGGCATCCATTTTCACCCAGGTCATTTCTCACGTTAAGGTTCGTCTTGTGAAATTCTATTTTCATCATACGAGGTTTGTGCAATCATATACATCAATTAAAACTTTTTAATATTTTTGCAAGTGATCTAAAGTAGTGTAATCACTTTAAGGAAGTTGGATCAAATTAATAAATTGCTTAACTTTTGCATTGTGATAGCTTTGAATGCCTATAAATCCTATAAATCTTCCACAAAATCTGAACGAAAATGCAATTTCAGACATCAAATTCCAAATCAAAAATTAGTCAGATTAGGCATGCAAAAACCCCTAAAGGTAGGGATTTCTAAAAATAGCACGGACTACATTCGTTTACTGGACCGAGTCCATATATGCTATTGGATACGAATGTGTCATGCTTAAAGTAAACCAATAATCGTTACAAAGATAATATAAGAATCATTGAAATATGGCAATAAGTCATCACCCAAAGGCATGTGTCCACATAAACGTCTTTATGTTTGTTTTCACGCCGCGTATCACGCCGAGAAACCCTACAGAGCACTTCAATAGGTCCTTGTTCAAATAAACGTGTTGTAAAAAACGCCACGTGGTGCCGACGCTCACATGTCCATAATTAGGTAAATTAGAAGAGAATTACCAGCAGAATTCGATGAGCAACCGATCGAGAAAGGTCAAAAAGTCTTTTTGTTTATTCAGATTGTACATACATGGACATTTATCATTGATTACTGGAATATTGATTAAAACTCTTAATTATACGCAATAAGAACATAATGATATGAATAAAAATACATGATATTTCATTAGAATCACCAATTTGTTTGCTTAATTTGACACCAATATATTAGGAAAACCATCTTTAACGGCTTGTGTTATCATGAACCTTTTAACGCTGAGTAAAACGCGTCATATTACACTTGAAAATGACATAGCGTAATATGCCGAGTTGTAATATGTCCACATGAATGTAGGCTGAGACACACTTTAAAGAGAGGAAGACAACATGGCGGACGAATCAGACAGTGACATTGAATTCAAAACTATCTTGAAAACGCGTATGTTGTCACACGCCTTTAGTGTATTATTGTAGATAATACGTCTAATATCCAAACCTTACGATTGATAAATGCTTTTCCGATGATCATTGAATTAATTTTCGTGGCTTCATTTAAAAATGATACCCGAATTCAATCTATTCATCTTTCTCGGTTAAATCAGGAAAATGTTGAAGCATATGTAAAATCTTACAATACTACTGTATGGTTTGGTTTAAATGATGCTAAGATTGAGGGTACTTACATGAATGCTGACGGTACCAGCCAGGGACATTTCAGATACTTTGCTGCAGATGCAGGATTATCAGCATCCGAGGATTTCTTTGGTGAGTTTTTTTTTAGAGAAGACTATTTTTGCGAACTTCCCAATATGCGAACTGTTCTTAGGAGGCAATGAATGTAACTAAACAAAGTACTAACGGTCGGAACCACAAAACGAAACCCTAAATCCGAAACAACATATTGGCAAAACACAGGTAGCAGCTTATGAAATTTTCACATGAAGAGGTATAACAATCATAAGTGAGTAAGTATTTCATTATGAAAAGTGATATCAGGTGTCTAGAAGAGTAAATATACCCTACCTGGCACATCCGTCATAACTGCTTATCCTTTTCAGCTTTATTACCGCAGCAATATTACAGATGGAGCGAATTGTCTGGAACTAACTTGCTACCTTACCTCTGTCAAGTTAGTCAGTCGGCATCGCCTCGTACAGAAGGTGGGTACATATTTCAAATGATACTTTTTACCTTTCTTCCATATAAAGCAGTAATCGACAAAACAATATTTGATATAACCATTCAGTGGCATATTAGAAGCACAAGTTATAGATCCATTATCTATCCATAATTGTATTATTTCAATATATGTATTTTCACAGCCAAAATAATGGTCTATATTTCCGTTGTCCATGAATTTTTGTATATTAGCGGTCTGTAATGCAAATTTTTCGAAGGCGTCGCCACTACTTTTGAATTATAAAAGAAGAAGAGAAAATACCATGACTGTTCATATAGAGTTGCCTTTGGACTGCCTTTCACATGATCTTCCTCGATCAAAAAACCAAACATAGGACATGAAAAATTGTAATATTTCACCAGGAATTTGTCAAACTGCAGGCTTCTTATTCCTGTGTAGCTACTTGCTTTGGGTACTAATAACATGCGTATATTTTTCAGAGCTATGTGGTGTTAAAAACGCTGGGAAAGTGTTGAGCGGTTCAGATCAATGTTACGCTATACTTGACAAGAAATCAAGCTTTGGTGAAGCTGAATATGACTGTTATAGAATGTTTGGTGTTTTAGCACCTGTACCAGATTCGGCTACAGAGGTAAACTCGTTGTAAAATATTGGAACAACAAAAGAAACAATTACATCTGTAAATATTTAATGGGGGATTCACATTGTCTTCTCTTTCCTCGCTAAAACATTTCTGGTGTCAATGATAATTATATGCGAAAATGTCACTTCTTGTTCAAACCAGTCGGTATGGCGGGCCAGGGTGTAATGCTTTTAAAAAAGCGCGAAACGATTGGCGCTGTGAACTCCAGAGCTCTTTGATATCTGTCATCTTTCGAAACTGGCTAGCAGATGGTACAAGTTAGTCCGAAGCATCTGCGTCTCTTACAGCCTCTGATGGATATTTTGACAGTGTTGTTGACTAGAGTAGAGAGACAGATGTTTCGGTCTAGGTGCAAGTATATGACAGTGTTTCTGTGGTTAGAATGTTCACAGCCCTTTTGTATAATATCTTTACAGAATGAAATCCGCGAACATATTATACGATATGGCAGTCCGATGGATTATTGGGTCAATAAAAAGAAGGAAGGGTCAAGTAGAATTTATGGTAAGGATCTCGGAATGCTTTGAGTCAAAAATAAGATAGTGAATATCAAGTTGAAATGCTCTCGCGTGGAATGGTCGTTGTTGTTGTTAGCAAAGCCAAACCGGCCTTTTTTATCTTGCTAGTAGAAACGCCACTGTCTTATAGAGGTCTACCACGGCCACAAGCTATTTATCAATTAGGTGTCCTAACTGCGCGGACAACACTAGTTCAGCTAAATTTTTAATGTTGAACGATTTTTTCAGCATTGGTTTACAATCAAATGTTTTACCAGAAAGACTTTAGTAGTAATACACAACATGGAGTCGTGTGTTTATTAGGTGAGCTAAAATTTGATACTCTTAGTGTATAAGGTCAAGGATATACTCGCAACTTATCTTCGGACTGAATTGTGTTTTGGGCTATGAAAATAACACGGGATTAAACAAGTTTTAGAATAATATGGTTATTTCCCCTGAGTTGAAAACTCAATCAAAGGTGGCCGTTTTACTTTCTTTTATATTATCGTTTGTTGTTCAAGTCACCGACAGAACATTTTAGTAGCGGGACAAAAGGCATCGAAAGGACACAAAAGTCACCTTCCATCCAGTAAAGAGTGGTTGGTTGTGGCTCCTACATTTATGATATGTCTGCTTACGTTAGCGGACAGTCTTCTTTTATTTTTTATTCCAATTTTAGATACCTTGAGTGCTGCAAAACCATGCACAACAGGTGAGTTGAATATTGAATATCCACGGGAATTAACTCCAGCAGACGAAGGGACGTAATCCTATAAATTGAATCTTTCAAATTATTGAAGTTCTTGTCAATTACTGTTCTGATTAGAAAAATTGCTTGGAGTCCCTTCTAGTTGAAGGCGATTTTGCTAAAGGGCTGTTAATTGTTAAGAAATGGTCGATCGTAGACGCCATTTCCAGCAGAGTAATCTATAGAAAATCTCTATTTTTACCTTCAAAATATGTAGACCTATAGTACTATTTGATCGGACCCCGCACCTTAGTCTAATTCGTAGCAATGGTTTGCTCACGTAGTTCAGGCTGTTCAGAAGCTTAAACGCCTGTCCATATAGACTGAAATATAAACTGTTGATAATTTACAGGCTGGCGAAGATATGGAGACCATTGTTATCTTTACACTGGCGTAGTTGAACCAGATTTCAGTAAGGCACAGACACTGTGTAAAAGGTAATACATTTCAAGATAAGCTTCTTACATAGATAGTCGCGTAATATTTAGCTGAATTTCGATGGAAAACACTGTTACTGATTAGATGAGCTAAACTAAATCCCGTTTCTGAGACTAGAGTACGATTGGTCGAACGGATGGCGAACCTGCCCTTTTAATGGTCCTGCCCACAGAAACTACGACAGTCAAAGCGTCTTCCATTTCCAGATCCCCTCTGTCCTTTTTCTTCTCCTGTAGATTTTTGTTATTTTCTTATCTATTCTAATCAATTTACCAGGGAGCAGTATTTTGGCGGTTTTGAAATTTGCCTGGCAAGCGACATTCGCTACAGTAATTATTGATGTGTCCTAAAATGAAACAACATTGTTGAGCTTAACCTTACTATGTATATTGGATAAATTTGCAAAATTTATAAGTGGCAGCCATGGACCTCCATACATTTTATGTAACATTATCAAAACTCACAATACGTAAGATAGTACCTTGGTTCTTGACGGGCAATTGTCCAGTGCTCGTTATTAAACAATATGTGGGTAGATATGTAGAGAGCTCATCTCCTGTTGACCAATTGTCGCTTACTTCACCAGGGCAGCTGATATGAAAATGGGGTTGAATTTGAAAGAGCGAAATGCATGAAAAAAAGTAACTCTTTAAACAACATTTGGCATGGTTTATTGGCATTATATTATAAACAATAACTAATTAGATCGCAATTGATTATGAATTTCAATACATGTATTATTTAACATGTATATTTAACTAATGCAAATCTCTTTTATTATATATACATAATATATTATGTAAATACATTATAACAATACTATAAGTAGGATATAGACAAAATAACCAGTGACATTATTTATGATAGAGGACAGGTAAGGTTTACATGGTAGTCCTAGTAATAAACAAACAAATCTATGCTCCTCAAAGAAAAACAATGTATATGGAGACAAATTGTAAAGATCTCAATACAAGGATATATCCGTCATAAAATTACTAGAAAAAGGGTTATTTTATTTCGTCAAATATCGACATTATTCCAAATACAAAGATAGATATTAAAATCCCACGCCAATCTTCTTCCAAAACACCCAATTCTTTCGGAACAGTCAAAGTTGCGACAAATGGCAAACATAAGAATAGTAACCTGTAATACCATTTGTAGCCTTCTAGTATATAATTGGCAACCAAGAAACATGCAGCATAGATTAGGAATGGGAAATAGAGCTTATGTTCCCGCCGTCTGTTTGTTATGCATTCCTTCAAACTTCCAAAACAGAGAAATAAACAGAAATATATTACAATTGGTGACAACTGCACTATCCAATATGGAACCTCCATACTGAAACATCAAAAGTGTCAGATAATGTCCGATATCAATCTAGTTTAAAAGTGATATAGTCATCTCAGTTATTGCTATACCAATAGATTCAATTTTAGCAGATAGTTTATCAATAGAGGATCTTAAACGAGTGCTTATTTAATATGAAAATTATGAAATGAGTTGCTAGACTTAATATTTCCTTGCCAAATATTTAATCTGACATCGAATTTCTTAAATTTCAGATTACATAAGCACGATTAAAAAGCAATATAAACTTTCATATTTCCTTAAATTCCTTGCTCTTTTTCTATATAGGGCCTTCATTTTGAGATCAGCCTTTTTACATCTTTCTACAAAATGTCCTTGCGAGTAACAAAAAAGATCTTATTATAAACAATCATGTGATTACTAAATTATAAATTTTAATCAAAATTATGTGATTTGGAATCATTTCATGCCCTTTACCTTCAATTCTAACTGAGTTGCCAGTTTTCTGTTACATGAATACATGACCCAAGTTCCAAGTTCGTTGTTATGAACCTGTCTTGTGTACTTGAGAACACAACTGTTGTCTGATAAAGTTGTTTAAGAATTAGTATTCAATAAAAAAAAACTTATTTTCACTGGAAAAGATCTTACCTTAAACGTTGATAAAACCGTCCTTGTATGTGATAATATACCTATATCAATCTACATTCAATTATACGCCCCTTTTATTTTTAAGGTCACGTAATCTTTTTATTTCGAGTAAGTGGTAGGTCTACTGGCATTTTGCCAAGAATATCCATAATGAAAAATGGCGGTAATATAGGTGTGACTATTAACTTATTAGTTATTAAAATATTAGTCTAATTAGTCTCAAAATTGACCCGATTAGTTCTTTAAAGGGACACGTGCGGCATTTTCGGGAGTAAATCATACCTTGGTTAATCTAATCAGTAATAGGGTGGCTTAGTGAGTAAAACGCTCGCTCGCAACCTAAAAATCCAAGGTCCAATCCTGGCAATGGTCGAGTTAAAACCGTCGGATTTTTCAACCCGGTTTCCCCCTGTCAGTGATGCAGGCAAGAGGGACTGACGTGGAAAAAAGCTTCTAGTCGTTCGGATGGGACAATAACGGGCTGTGCACGTTAAAGATTCCTCGACAGTTGTAAATCGAAAAAGAGAAGGCTATGACCGCTGTCCTGGCAAAATATTCCTCATTGCACCCTGCACGGCGTTGCCTGTCTTCATTAGCCCACATGGTGCCCTTCATTTCATAATCAGTAATAATGTCCACAGCTTACCGTAGAAATTTACCGAATCTACTACTCACCCATTTTCTTTTCTTTAGCGATTCCACATCGTTGGTTAGTATTGAGTCGGAGCAAGAGAACTCTGATGTTTTAACATTGGTGAAGGAGGTCAGCTCGAAATCACCTTCAGTTTTCCTGGGTAAGTTTAAACATTACATTAGTTTTTAACAGTCACCATCCAAATGCACTAAAAGGCACGAAATTGCTATTGCTAATATCACAAATCATGTGTTTTCATACAAGGTATGGAAGTTTTTGTAACCGTAGCAATATCAGCTTAGAGCAACAAGACATGTTCTAAACTTGTTATAGATATTATGAATTCATTTTCAATTAATATTGACGTCACTAATCATTTCTGCCAATTAATAAGTTTCCACCGATCGTATGGTCAGTAATAGCGTTATAAAAGATTTCCAAAATATTTTACTTCTGAATTCGTCGGATAGCGAAGTTGTGTGGTTGGGATTAATTAGTATTTTCGATTACTTGGATATATACAGAAAGATATCAACAAAGCATTTGTCTTTAAATGAACAACCGTAAAACTTCAACTCAGTTCATTTCATTGTTTGAACATAACAACATCTGATTACAAAAGATTGTGGCCAGAATGATGAATAGCCATTGGTCAGGGGTTTTAGTATTTCTTGAAAACGAGCTGATATGCCAGGAACCAGGAACTGTATCTGAAAATGTGTATACCAATCGATGTATGAACGATGCATTAGAGTTATCGGGAAGTGTATATCAAATATTATCATATTTAGTACCATTACATTAGATTTGGTGCTATAGCATGACAGAACGTTTCTGTTACTATTTATATTAGTAAAATATTTTGTTATTTTAGGATTGAAATATAACAGCAGCCAGAACAAGTTTAATTGGTCAGATGGTTCTGCAGTAACTTACACCAACTGGGCAAAGGGCCAGGGTGTTGATGCAGTAGCATCCAATGGAGAATGCAGTCGTCTTTTATCCAATGGTCAATGGAAAAACAAAAAGTGTTCCAAAACTAACGCTCATATCGTTTGTAAAGCTAATGTAGCTTCGTAGACATTAAAATTGAAACGTCAAAATAAAAGCATGATGAATTTAGTTGTGTTTTTAATAATATTATAATGTCATAATATATTATATCGTCGTTGGTTCAGATTTTCTTGTGAACGCTATTAGTTTTTGATCTATATCGGGTAAGATTGATAAGCGGTGATTTTCATGTTCAAAATTTTAGGTTAAAATAATATATTTGGTCAATTACAATAATAAAATATTTTCACTGTTAAAATAGTGTTCAAAACAATTGTAGAGCGATAAAGAAATAGAAATATTAAACATAACTTAAAGCTATGCGTCCAAAACACCATTCAGATGTGTTTCTTGGAATTTCAGTATCGAGTTAGATAAGCTTTTTACTGAAAAAGGGCCCAGGTAATCCAACAAATGCATCACTTATTGAAGGTTGAATTTAAGTTAGACAATATTTTTGTGCAATATTGGTCATAAATGAAAATGAACGAACCCGGGAAATCGTGTATGTTGAATAAAAATAAAATGAAATGAATGGAGATCTACGTCCTGTTTTGTTCTGCACATTACCATACAGTGTACAATCGGGGGCATTAAATCGTTTTTTTTTTTGGGATTTCCGACTGGATCTTTAAAGTGCACATGGCATGGGGCCGTGGGTTATTGTTCCATCCGAACGACTAGACGCTTTTTCCAAGTTTGTTCCTCCGACCTGCATCACTAACAAACGGAAACTTGGTTGAAAAAGGGTATCACACCAAATTGTCACACCTAAATGAAGTCATTTGTTAAAAGGATAATTCATCGCATTAAATTTTTTTATTTCCGATAAGTCATCAATCGATAAGTCAATCAATCAATCAGAAAATTTACTACTATGAAATCTCTTTTAAGGAAGTTCTATCAATTAAAAACTGTCATAATAAAGTTATAGTCACGTAAACCCAGTACACATCTATCATCTAGTGAGCGTAGTTTTCTCAAAAAAAGGGTTGGGTGGAACGGATCCGCCACATTACTCTTACTTACATGTTTAAACTCAAAATTTATATTGGTTAAACTGTACATAATGCCCGAGGTCACCTGTAAATGCTGACATTTACTACACAGATTATCTCCGACCAAACAATCTGAAAACCACCAAACGTCAAACATGGCTTAAAGAGGAATGTTGTCCGTTCTATATACAGTAACTAAAGCTATCAATGCCAAATTGTTCCTTTATAATGAAAATAACATAGATTGATCGAAATACGGCAGTGAATCTAAAAGTTTGCTCTTTTTAAACATTGGTATTAGTATTACAGTCTAAAGTTACCGCACTTAAAGATTTCCTTGATCATTAATTTCAAATATTTTGATTATGACGTCAAAAGTAATTGAGTTTTATAGATATCAATGATTTCTTTGTTTTTGAATATTGGATAATTATTCACTAATTCATCATTATTCATCATGATTATAGTATAAATGATAAAAAATAGACATGTTCATCGTACTTTAACACCTGTTTATCATAGGTAAGGAACCTTGTTATTTTTTTTTTAATTGATACATGTAATTATCACCATGGACTGTTGTTTCTGAATAGCCTTTTGCTGATTATTTTTATAAGTATTAAAATATTTCCCCCCAATTAGCGTCGATGTGGAAAATATATAAATTTCTATTCTGAATCCTTAGAGGTTATTGTGTAGTTATGAATGATGGGCGAGGTTTTGCAGGAACTTTTTGGAATTATCGGCTATTTAGACGCAATAAGTGCAATTTGTAAGGAATGACAATATTGTGTCAACCGACATCAATTTTCTCTTGGTTTATACTATTTCAGCTCTTTGTCTGTTAAAAATTCAGAATGAAAGTATTAATCTGTTTGTTGGTTTTGGTGACTGTGACGGCAGCTTTTTACAGTAAGAATTTTTAATTATATCTATGCTGATTTTTTTTCTTTTCACAGACCAGAAAAATATCTCGACTCGAATAAAGTTTATTTTGGTTTGATCATTTAAATTTTAGTCAGTTTAAGAAAAGGTTGTTATTTGAACCAAGTTTTGAGTGTTAAATTGCCTGCCACACGCTGAGACACCAAGGATCAACCTTCATGATCTAAACCAGAGATTTTCAACTTATACAGGCTTATAAATAGGTCACAAATCTAATATATCACCAGGTCAATAAATAATATATATCCTCTTCGTATGTAAAAGTACAAACTATTATCTAGTTATCTAATATATGTATATATATATATATATATGATTTATTGTTTGTTTTAGGACAAAAACCTTACTATAACAGATGTGAGTATTTTTTTAATCAGACGTTTTATTTTTCCTCTATATTAATATTGCTATGAATGTGACTTTGATATTTTCTTGAGAGACAAGGTAGCTCAGTAAGTAAGGTCCAGGGTTTAGTCCCGGATTATTTCGAGATCATACCTTGAGATTTTGCTACTCGTTTCCCCACTGTCAGTGAGAGACACTGGCATGTAAAGAAGCGTCAAGTCGTTTGAATGGGACAGGCTGTGCACGTTTAAGATCCCTCGATAATTGGAAGAGCAGGCTAATGTCGCTGTCCAGGTAAAATGTCCCTCATTGCGATCTCTTGCTGGTCTCCGTAAGCCCGCAAGGTGCAGAAAAGTAGGACGTAAAACTCCAGTCTTTTAATTTATTTTAATATTTTCTTGCTCAGCTAATTGAAGCTTAGACTAAACTTGCGTTCCGTTTTTTGTTAACTTATTTTTCATTTAGCCACCTCAGTCAGGGTCTTAGGACAACCCTCCTAAACATTCGTCTGTTTGATGACACCGCAAGGCAATCAAAATTTCTGCACCCTCAAACGCTGGGATTTTGTGTCGCGAACGAGGCACTAAGAATAAAAGCTAATAAATAAAAGCGGAACGCAAGTTTGGTCTAATTTAAATTCCTACATGACTCTTCTCCATATTCCTAAATCATTTCGGAGTAAATGACTTTTTCAAATGTATCAATTGACATTTGAAAATGGTTATTCTATCTATTATGTCGTATTTCTCAATTCAACTGCATTTAAATAGGTGTATTTATTAATCACCCGTATCTATATTCAAATTACAAATCTAGACATCGTGCTTGTCTATTATTGAACATAGCTATAAGTTACAAGGGGACGATTCAGAGGGGCAAACAAAACTTGATATCCGAGATGAGATTTATAACTTTTATGCATCTGATTTTGCTAAAACTCAACGCAATCCTACGTCAGCTACATTATCTTTGTCTTTTTCGCCTTTGCGAAAGAAATGGCATCAATTCCAAGATACAGAAAACTTACTTTATCTGGTCTGTTCAAGTAAATATTTATCAACATTATGCCCCCTTAAATGAATGAATTAATATCTTGTTTTTCAGGGAATGATATTAGTGACAATGGTTATGGTAAGTATATTGGTCTATTGAATTTCAAAGGATGGGCTTTTTTTATGTATAAGCTCCTGTATTTTGAATTTTGACATGCTAAATTACAATGACTATCATTATATCTAAATTTATCTTGTGTCTTGTCTTATATTGCTGTATCTTGTTGTATCTTGTCTCAACTTGTTGTATATTGTTGTCGCTCCAAACCAAGCATAAGCTGTTTATACGGTTACCACATTAAAGGGATTGTAAGGAGGTCTTCTGAATTTGTTATGTGTATCAGAGACATTGATAGCATCAAATTGCACCATTCCAATTTTCAGTCAAATGTCAGTGGTTTCTGTAGTGTAATTCCATTAAAACCAAGTGTATGATGACGTCACTAATCACAAAGGGCCTTTTGTGATAAAGCACATTTCGCGATTAATGACGTCATTTGTGCGAATTGATGCTACCAGTAACCCCAATACATATAAAAAAAATAAAAAACCTCTTTACAATCCCTTAAACATGCTACACCCGATTTCCACAGGCACATTTGAACGGTATTTAGAGATGACCGTTCGATTATTATCTAAAGATAAATCTTTCACGAGTAAAATTACCTGCCAAGAATATTTTTAATTATTTCATAATATATGTTTGTATTACTTTTCTAGATAACGATAATCACTTCAGACGAGGTATGCTTTGCAATTAATATTTAAAGGGAGGGGAGAAGGATTTTTTTCTTCGTTCATAACTCTGAAGGGTCGTTCAGGGGTTAACACAATTGTCAAGGGGCTCACAATACCAACCATAAAAAATTCGAAGAAGAAATTTGAAAATCGGGATTCAAAAGCCTGACAAACCTAACATTCCCCTCCCCTACCCCGCTAGGGTTCACCATTTATTATTTTATTATATAGGTGATAGAATTTAATTGTACATTGACTCTGGATTTTCATTCCGATAGTTATTAAGAAAGTTGCGGTTGGACGTAAGAATATTTAGTCGGCTTTATAGATTGTTATGTTTTAGATATACACTGTAATAGCTAAGCAAAAGCACTTCACTTCACTTCACTTCACTTCTAAAGTAGAACTAGAAAGATAGAACTAATGTATGTCATTGCATTTTCTTTTTATTTGGTTTTTGTAGGTGTGAGATACAATAGCTTTCACGACAATGATTGTAAGTTGTTTATTCTTTTTTGTTAATGTAGAATCAAAGAACATACATTTCAGTTTCATCGACATCGCCCCCTCATTACATATTCTAGCTGATAGCATAGGAAGTTATCACAAATAGTACCTATCCAATCGCAAAAGTTTTACAAATTATGTATGGCAGCTATATGAACTATTAGTCTATAAAAATAGGTCTTTAACATAATGAAAGTATGAAAAAGTTCACTATCCTCTTGTTCCCCAAGAATGTATAAGTTGGTGATCCATTTAGCTGATTATTACATTGTATATTTAACACCACAATCGTTACAAATGTTCAACCAGAATTGTTGACACCTAGAATCAGGTTCGAAACTAGAACCTTATGACGTAAAGTAATACGTCTCCTCTTCACAATGTAAAGATACTACGAACTTCGTCCTATACCTTAACTGCAGTTAACCACCTTTCTTGTATCACGGAATGAAATGATTTGATTGGATTGTACTCCAGCAGATTCAACCAATCAGAGCCTTCAACAGAAAGACTCAAACATTATGACTTATTGTTGACAGACTTTCTGTCGAGAGCTCTGATTGACTGTTCAATTAATCGTACAATCCAATCAAATCGCTGATTTACAGTCTGTGATACAAGAAAGGTGATTATTGCAGTCAAGGTATAAGACGTAATATTCGTCATGGCTTGACATTATGGAGATGCTCAGACTGGGAACCAGAGCCTTATGACAAATGCAATGTACTGTGAAATTAAATACATAACGAAACTGACCAATAGAAATCTTATTTTATTATTAGTCGACTCTCCAGATAATTATGACAATGATAATCATTATCCCCAATACAGACGACCACAAAGAGGCAAGTATATTTAGATTATAAAATGAATATAGGCTAATTTGATTTCTTTTCGGTGGCTTTCATGGTGTAACTTAACTCGTTCTATATAAGAAAAATTAATTCTATTAAAATCGTTTTGCGTAAATTCTCGAATAGAGAATATTTTCTATTTTCTACTGTACCGATAATCACCGTCACCAGACACCGTCTATTCGTACCTGTTTAATAGAAGACAGCTAGCAAAGAAAGAGATATCCCATAATACCGAGAGCCAGCTTTTCTCACTACAGCATTGGAGTGGTCAACAAGCCTTTCTTATAAATATCTTAATGATAATAATTTAAGTGGTCAGTGTTTGATGAACAATCTATAAACTTTCGTTTTCGTTGTCTAATGGACATGATGTATGAAGTATCACACTACTCGTAAAGTGACTTAATCGCATCTAAATAATCATTTCTAATTCTCTTGCAGTTCTAAATTACCATCGTAAGTAAACTTTTCATTTGTTAAGACCAAATATACAAATGGTGCAGATATTTAATTTCACAGTAATATTACTAAATAGAAGACTATAATCTGTTAAAATCTGTTATATAAGTTGTCACATTGTTAAAGGGATTGTAAAGGTTTGCAGGAACCACAGATGTCTGATTGAAAATTGGAATGGTGCAATCTGTGTCCCCAATACACATAACATTTTTAGAAAACCCCTTTACAATCCCTTTAAAATATGAATATTTTGAATGTCAAAGTACATATAGTTGTAACATTTTATAATGGAAAATTGAATTCTATCTACTTATTTGTCTAAAAGAGCTAAACGAATGGAATAAGATTATAGACTGTGAACAGTGTAAGTTGTGTGCCAGTTCAAAGATAACCTCATGTGGGTTGAAATACACTTTATTTGTTCCTAATTTTTCAGGACCAATGTTCAGATTCACCGGTTAATAAGGTTAGTATTCCGTAATTTGAAATTGTAAACGTCGTTCCATGATGAAAATTAACCCCGCTACATGATGCTGTTGATATTTACTACACCTGCATTTGTACAAAGTACTGGAGAACTATTTCTATCTATCTATCTAGCTAGCACAATGTTTTCTTGGCCTTTAAAGCATTTGAAAATACAAAGCAGTAGAAATCTAGAACAATTTTAGATAGCTCATAATCTAGTTAAACATTATAAGAGATGAATGTTGGAAATACCTGATAAGGTCAGATGACTGAAAAAGAGCCCAGTGCTCTCCACTTTTGTGGCTGTAAAGAGAAATTCATTCAAGCACAAGACATAAGGAAAGTTGTGAATAACACCACCTCATATTATCATACTGACTGATCTGTTTTGTTTCAGATTAACATCAAAGATTTAAGAACTTGGCGAATTGTTTTATGGTAGTAAAATAAACTATACTCACAACAACACAATAATGTTATTTATCAATATTTTGCAATATAATCTATTAAATAGCTGGAATGGTGTAATACAGTCCTTCTCCTTTAACATGGGACCCACTACTTGAGAACTTAACGTTGTAGACCCATTTCATTTTATGGTCTCCATGAAAATTGAAAATGTTACGTAAGAGAGAACGTCAAAATGATTATGGAAACATACAAAGTCAACATCATTGTTTAGAATGGAATACAGGGGGCAATATACCAAGTCCCTGTAATACTCAGGATTTTTACTCTACAGCATTTATTGACTTAAGATGGATTTCCCTTGTAGTATTTAAACGATTCCTTTTAGAAAATGGATGAAATTAAGCCTGGTAACAAAAATAACAATTTATTCAACATAAATAACTAATTCATATTACAAAACAATAATAAAAGATATAAAATAATGCTTGAAATGGCTAAGAGACGGTTGTACGTTTCCGTCAGGTACGATGGGAAATCATCAGATCAATAGAAAATGCGAATAAAGTCAGCGGATTCCCCATTCTCGGAGATGCCGCAAATCCCCATAAAACAGAGCCATGTTTTCTGACCCTACTCCAGTCGATAACTGTCAAAATAGGTATCTGATCAATAAGAAACAATTATATAGTTATTCGACATGAATTTCAACTGAAATTTGCGGATTTAGATATTCTTCACCTTGCCTTCATACAAAGCAAGGTGTTTTGATGGTTTTGATGGTGATCACTTTAACAAAAATAACAATGGACATTAAAGGTTTTGGCGAATTCTTAAGAGATTCTGTTTTTAAAGAATGATTTTATTTTCAACTATATAAGTTGAAAAGTTTCAAATATCCACGAAAATAATAATATTCTCTATAATCAATATATATATTATAACTGTGAAAAGACGATAAAAAAGAAATAAAAACTACAGTGATTACATTTCAGACTTTAGATTGATTATTATCTCCCTTTAACTACGCTACAGTAGATACAATTGGTGAGATTCACAAAAAGTTAACTAACGACTAAGTAGCACTTGGACCAGATTCGCTCTCATGAACGTTATCACAAGCAAAGCTATATAATTCTAGCGATCGACAGACCGCACGTCTAAGCAATGAAGGAATCCGTCGTTTTGTTATGGTCAATGTACGAAATGAAAGAGTTTACTTGTTCTGTAGCTAGTCGGGCCCGATATACATAAAAAAATGATTAACATTTTATATCCACCATTCTCCTTTACTTCACGAGATGAAATTTTCAAGTGTCAACAACACTCAGCCAATTCAGATTCGAATCAAATCGAATAGTGTCGAGCTTGGTAACTAGAATCATATATTTACAGCCGAACATTACATCTCGTTGTCGTTGCTGAAAGCCCATTTGGTATCTTTGGGTTTTAAAAGGTACATGACTTGTCCTTTCAAACCACACCATCGTCATGTCCACTAAAACTTCTGGGGTTTGAGGCATCTGTGACAGCAGGTAATAAATTTTCTGTGACGGCTGACAAACCTTTGAGATCTTTGTGATTGAATTCGTTGGTTAATGTATGTCTGGCTAGTATATTAGAAGATAAACTGGGACTCGTGGAAGCGGTACTTATGGATGTCGAGCTCTGAAAAGAGAAAAATTTTCTATCAGACCGAAACCCGGAAAATTGTTGTTCAGACAAATATAGAAACCTATAGCGTACAGATAGACTTTTTTAATGAACAGGAACATTGTTGACTGCCACAGTTGCATTTAGGGAACTTTCTTGGTGGCCATATACATTTCTTTAAGAAGTATTAATGCATTTGTCGCTTGAATTTTGCGAAGAAAATTCCATTTAAGAAAATATATTGAAAATTATCATTACGTTTATCTTCGACATGATTTCTTGTGGTAACTCAACAACAGGACCGCGCAGAATCGACTTCCGGAAGTCTGGGATAAAGGTCAACACAAATGTCACTATGGAGCCTGCTGTTAACCATTCTGTTGCTGTAGATACTAGATATGGTACCCTTAATGTGTCCTGAAATAAAATAGCCAACCATTCATAAAAACCAAAAACAAAACACTGATGTACAACAGAAAATAAGCTTCTGGGTTCCTGGGTTATTCATTTTTCATTTCAAAGCTCAATAATTACGACGCTTAAATTATTTGTGAAAGCTCATATTTAGCAAAGCTTATAAAAAAAGGATAGACAGGACTATAGTAGTCATTTAGAAGTTTCACCACCTTTACTATATTTTCTGTGTTTGGCCATCTTCAAAATGGTCAAGATATGACTTCTTCTTCATCTTATACCTTGACTGAGATGGCCCACTTTCTTGTTTCCTGGTCAACGATTTGATTGGATTGTATGCCAGCGAATACAGCCAACCATAGCCATCGATTTCACGCATAATTATACTTTGCAGTCTTTCTGTCAAGGGATCCGATTGACTGTATTCGCCACCGTATAATCCAATCAAATTGTTGCATTCACGAACTTCCGGGAAAGAAGAATGGGAGGGACATTGCAGTCAAGGTATAATATGAAGAAGTAATATCTTGACCATTGTAGGGATGATCTTTGGCACGTTCAAAGCAGTTACAAACCTTCATAAAACGTAAACATTAACTTACGTGTTTTGTACCAAGGCCGTGTATTTCACTTAATTTATATACAGCTTTAGAGATAATAACTTATCAAAGTTAAGGTCGTTCATGATTGAAATGGATTCTACAGTAAATAGAGACCGTTTAATAGCGTTCTTTATCCATCTAGTCATTTTTTAAAAATGTATAAACGTGCAATAATTTGCAAACACTGCATTAAAATATTGCCAAGCCTATAAATAGACTTTCTATTACGAAAATATCTGCTGACAAGGAGGACTACATATCGTCACGAACAAATACAAGAGAATTTCACATGCTTACATGAAGCCTGCTGATGGACTGATATTCCCATATGACAGACAAAACTTCAAAATGCCCGTAGCAAGACAAAGCAGAGGTCGCCAGCTATTGGACTCGACATGTCAAAAAGCCTGTACATATATTAGAGCGATTGTAACAGGAGGGCTGCGGGGTTGACTCCTACGACCTCAACCTCCCCTTCGCTTAAGTCTACTACAGAACTGAATGACGGTTTGTTGAATTTCATAAGACTAAAATAATATGCTACGTTTCTTTGTATTTTTCAGCTTTGCTAAAATATACATTAAATTTGCATAAATCTGGCAACATTATAAAAGGATACATATTATTAGGAAGCACGTTAAGAAGACACTGTTGACAATCTGTAGGTTGGCAACTAGAGTATTATTTAAAGGGCGTCGTAATTTCCATGACAACCAAGATTGAACCCAACAGTAACAGGTGCCCAATATAAAAGCCAGGCCAGCACCCACATAATGAGCTGGTTTTATATCCACAGTCTGTAAATAAAAATATATTATTCCATGGCATCCGAGGTTTAAAAAAACAGAAAGCAATATGATTCTCGACTGTGTCCTGTGCTTCAGCAAGCTATAAGCTAATATAGCCATGTTTTTAAGATGGGTTTAAAAAGAGTTTGGTTTAACCACCATTGCCGTTCCACCAGTATCTTTGTATTTGTCTATGACTACAAGATGCCACACTACATTATACTAATAACATGGTTTCATTTAAGAACTTTTCGTGTGACCTGTATCAGATAAGATATGTAAATGTGACTATATTGAATTGGTGCAGCGTAAATTCGCAACGTAAAGGTGCCCTCACACCATAGCAATTACCAGATGCGTATGGTTGCGAATAATATAAGCGGCCATGAGTTCCAAAAGCAACTCACACCTCAGTTTCATAAGAGTTGCGTTCGAAACTTACGACCACTATTCCTATTCGCAACTATACACAACTAGTGATCTCTATGTTGTGAGGGTCACTTAATTAGAGATGGGTTCCCTTATTTTCATTTATGAAAATGAAAATGCTAATACTGATATGAATAGAAAGTAGAGGTGTTCTAATGACTTGGAAAAATACCAGTTTGCCTCACATGTCCATAATTAATTCATAATTAGCTAAATTAGAAGAGAATTGCCAGCAGAATTCGAGTGAGTGACCGATCAAGTCTTTTTTAGTTTATCCAGACTGTATATACATGGACATCTATGATTGTTTAAAATCTCCTTATTATATGCAATAAAAACATAATGATATGATTAAGTATATTGATATTGATATCATAATGATTGATAATTAATTAGAAACACCTATTAATCTAATAGTTTGCCTAATTTTACTCTAAAAACAAGGAAACCCATCTTTAAATGTAAATTCATTTTTATATATATATATACAACGAAATATTTACCTGAAAGTTGGCCACCATACTCAGACCAAGCGCTGACAAAAATCCCATTATGAGTGTTGCGATATTCCATTTCCGATCAGACGTCAATCGCCTGGTTGCTGTCAGCATTGCCCTCATTGTTAGATATCGTATGTAGACATTAAATGCCACTTTAAATATAAAATAAATAAAAATCAATAATTATATTCCTTACTTATACTTTCTGTAGAGATAATGTTTAAAATATCTTCTAATTCACATCTGGAATATTACAACATATTCATTTATACTATAAACTATCCATTTATCCTTTAAAACACTCTTACACAATACCCTTGTTTTCTATAGATACCCTTTAATCAACATATGGGTATATAACAATACCCATGTACTCTTTAAAATACACTTTTATCAAATTACCATTATATTCTAAAACAAAATAATCTATGTATCCTAAATTTTATGTGGGGGCAATGCAACATATCTTAAATAGATTTATGCTAAATTAAAGTATCCTATTTGTTTGAAATGCTGCACAGCAACTTTACCGATTGCCAAAAACACAATCACGCATATGATGTACATATAAAGAATTTTTGCATTAGAATGGTTCCTGTTTTTCTGGGAATATTCCAGGATTACATTTTATCAGTCAAAGAACCATGTATATTTTAAAGCATTAATCTCTTGACAAAGTTTCATTTTAAAGAATAATTAAATTTATGTTGAGACTCTTCTTAGATAACACAGCGGGTTCTAATGTTTTAACCTATTTTTACTCAAGATTTATCTAACCCGGATTTTCTCTGCCAAAAAACTCGTTAGATTTATTTAAACATGCTGTAAACATTTCAACTTTAATTCATGATTAAGGATAAAAAATGGAGTTCGGGTCAAACGAGGTTGTAATAACAGAAAACAACATGTAAACTTTCTATTGCGTTGTTTATCAAAATTACAATTCATTTTACAAACCGGTTCTTATGAGCAGGTGTTAGTAAGATCCGAGTTTAAAGATCAACACAGAGAGTTGAACTCGTCCGAAATTCTGCATTCTGCTATGATACTTTGATTTTTTGAATTGGCATATTGAAAAACTAATAGCATTCAGCAAACTTTAGTAGGGACGTTGTCTGAAATTGTTCTGAAGACAGCGTGGCAGAAAACTCTGAATAACATCATGTTTCAGGTTCTGTTTTATATATTGGGAAGGAAATTTCAAAATTCATAGCTGAATTCCACTGACATTGTATCTGTATAAAAGAGGATGGAAGTAATGGTGTCATGTGTACACAATAAGTGTTATACAACAATAATAGTAGTATGTATATACTTACACAATGTAGAACCAATATTTATCAACTGAGCAAATATACATCTTTCTGGTACCTTGATAGCAGTATAACTGTAAATAGATGAATTGAAATAAAATAGTTTTTTTTACAATTCGGCGCCTAATATGGCTAGTGAACATGGGACGTAATACAGTCTGTAATGAGGTAAATTCTGTCCAGCCAGCGGCATAAGTCCATCGGTTTAGAACTATTAAAGATGGTTTTCCTCATATTTTTGGTGTCAAATCATGCAAACTATTTGATCAATTGGTGTTTCTAATGAATGATCACGCATTTATCATATCATTATGTATGTAATTTATGTACAGTCTGGATAAAGAAAAAAAGACTTTTTGACCTTTCCAAATAGGTCACTCATTGGAATTCAGCTGGTAATTCTCTTATAATTTAGTTAATTATGAATTCATTATGGACATGTGCGACAAACTGGTATTTTTCCAAGTCACCAGAACACCTATACTTTCTATTCATATAAGTATTAGCATTTTCATTTTCATAAATGGAAATAAGGGAACCCATCTTTAAAGCACCTTAAAATGTACAGTCTGCGGGGCCTTTAATAATTTTTCCATCGCACCCGAAGGACTGCACCCTTTCCGTGCCTGCCCTCCATCCTACAACATGGAAATCAGGATCGTAAAAAAGATACATCCCGTTGACCTACATTCCATGAAATAAATGACAAACCAAAGGAAACAAAATGATTAATACAAAACATGAATTAACAGAGTCATTGAATGAAACGACTTGGAATAAAGGAAAATGTATGAATTAGAAGTAAATGAACTTAGAAAATGAACGAAAAAAAGAACAAAAGAACGAATAAACGGATGGAGTACTGTAAACGACCTATGTAAAAGGATGTAGTTAAGATATAACAATATTGATATATAAGTAACATGATATATTTCCCTGTAATTACTCTCTCAATTCATCTAACATATGCTTCTGGAATTCATATGTTCCATATTTTATGCCTAACATGTGCCTGAGGCTTGTAAAAAATCTGCGAACTATTGATGTTCAACATAAAAATGTTATAAAAATTCATGAACTAAAAAACTGCTGATTCTTCAGATTTTTGTTGGAGGATGCCTTACGATGCATTATATGTCGAACACCGGGATGTACTGTAGGTAAACGTCAATAGAGTTGAGAGGTGATTCTGGGCAAAATTTATTGCAATTGACATCTGAAATCCCTCGTGCTTCGCATAGGAAATCGAATTGACAGTATGGTGGTTTGATCTCATATTTGAGGAAATATGACGGCGAAATATGATACTGTTCTTTTAATTACGACGTGATAGAATGGCAACAGCACATGAAATTCTAATATGCCTAACGACGCATTTTATGTTTATCATCGTGATGTGGGCTGTAGACATAATTTAGATGAGTAGAGTTGAGCAATTGTCAATAGAAAGCTATCGTGCTTTTAAGAGGATTCGTAAACCACTGAAAATTGTGAAAATAGTCTGAAATACTTCCTCAAAGATGTCAGCACCAGTCTTGATTAACTCTTGCAGCAGCCCTACCTGGCACAGTTACATGCAAAAAGGTGCAAAGCGAGCCGAGGAAGTGAGATCAAAATGGCAGAAATAAAGCCACAATATGGGCAATAGTAATATTAAAGTACAAGTCTCACCTGATATAAGGAAAATCTGGCTCCACATGACCTTGACTGACTGACACGCCATATCTACAATATATAGTATAGTATATGAAACAATAATTACTTATGTAATATAATATTAGTCTTCATAAACAAAGATTTAATTCACTTACCATCTACTCACACTGATATAATGGCACTTCAACCTCTTCTTTATACAAATAAGTCACTTTTCTTTAGGATACTAAATTCGGGTTAGGAAGTGCAATATGCTCTTTTAACAAATTACCAAACAGAGTGTAGAGTGGGGCAGGAGTAAAGAAAGTATCGTTTCGACAGGATCGAATAGAAGATTTGAAAATTGCTGCGGCGTGTTAAAGGGTATCATTAGTTCAACCTTCCAGTAGTGCTAATTAATTTGATTATTATGGTCAAAGCGTCTTCTTATAGTCAAAGACAATGTTTGTCGAGCAAAGCCACAATTCCTATAGGACTATTATAATGGATAAATGCAATCTTATCATAATGTTGATATAGGTGATGTGGGTTGCTTGACTCGAAGCTAATCATGATCCAGTGAAAATTTTCTTAAACTCGAGTGCGAAGGCATACTTTGTGCTAACCAATCAAAATCGTTCATTATATATACAAACCCTTGATTTCCTGAATATTTTCATCAATATACTCACGTTATAAAGAGCGAGCCGATTATAAAAAATGCTGTTAAAATTGGTAGATAATGGATTCTTCTCTTCAGGAAAAAGAAACAAACCGCCATATCTTCTTCTTCAGTTTTAACTTTCTGAAATGAAAGATTTATAATCTGAAAAACAGTGCGAAAATACAATCGGTTCCTCAATATCTTAATTTACAATGATTTCTAGTATTCTAGTCATCTGATTGGTCAAATACTGAAATCTATTTCACATCTAGTTTTATTGACCAATAAGATATAATATTTCTAAAAGTTTTTTTTGTTATGTTTTGTAGAAGAGTCCTCTAGTTATTTGAAGTGAAATAATTTATATGAAATTGGTCAATTCGGGGGCATGATAGAAATATACGATCGATCTTTTCTGGAGCTCATGTGTATGCACAATCATCCCCATTTCGGTTTTGAATCGAGATTAGAATATCCTTGAACATATAAGCAATGCATAAAATAACATAATGGGGTAACTTGAAGCAGGAATTGGAATTAAAAAAAAGATCGTCAGGAATGCAATACCACCAGAGCGTGTTGCCCTACAACCTGATACTGGAATTTGTCTGCGGTCACATGAGTGTGTAAGAGGAAGAATTCGAGTAGTGTATCAATAATACGGACTTCTGTAAATAAATTCGTTTGCTGAAATATTACTAACTAAACGGGACTTATGATGGTAAAATTTCTATCAGTCTAACAGTCAAGTAGGAATTGGATCGGCTTATTACGGCCCACTTTTCCGGCTTATTACGGTCCACTTTCCGTATCTTAAGCAAATGGGTAAACGAACTCTGATATTTGAATCTCGACAACTGTATCCCTTTAATGGGACAGATTTACCATCAGTTCGACAGTTCGCCTTAGTCTTCGAAACAGAAACAGTAATAGTGTTCACATCTCACCGTCGAAATTTGAGCCTTCGAATCAATGTGTGTTAAAAATTATCTGCGTTTGAAATTTAAAATGACGACTCATCTTTTCTTGATATATATAGAAAATGCAGAGAAATAGAAAGTGAAATTCGAGGTATATTTGAAGGGATTATGTGATTTTCGTGCAGTTCTAGTACTTCTAGTACGGAAGATTATTTACATATACTCAAGATCCAGTTCAATCCCCGAACTGCGAACCGTGTCCTTTAATGCAAGGACACATTATGAAATGTAAAACAGCTAAGGCTGTCCTTGAAATATATACAATACCAAATTCCCTGGGGGGGAAAACACAACGACAAAAAAATTATAGCATATGCTGCTCTCGATAGTGTGTCCCAATAACATACATTTGATACAAGCTGATGTTTATCTTTCTGAAATATCTATTCAACAATTTGAAAGAGGCTAAAAACATTAACCAAAATATTTTAACCCTATCAAATTTCATATTGACAAATTCACAATAACAATATGATGTCTGTAGCTTAACACCATATAAAAATTGTCAAACTTAATCCTAAAACCAGGCAAAGAGTCGATCAACATAACCTTGAAGATTGGCTTAAGTTTCAAACTTTAAAGAGAACATATGATGTAGTTTTGGTACAAAAATAATAATTTTTACATGATAAAACTGACAATCGTCGTGTTCATATCTTATTGAACATTATGTAAACATCTTTAGATAAGTGACGGACCTGACAGGCTGCTAATTGTGTGATAATATGGTGTGACGAACGTGACGAAAAGATCATGTTCAGTTGTTAAATAGCATGAAATTCCAAGTAATCTATCCAAAATTGATCAGTTCACACTTCAGAATCTGGAAAGACCATTATCTACTATAGGATCAAGGTGAACATTCTTTGTCATTCTCTGCCATATTACTCAAATGATTTGGGCAACTTTCGTTAACTTATTACTTGAAATGAATCTTTAGAACAAGTACAATAATTATATTCAGATAAAACATACATGAAGTTGTGCATTCACTCAGGGAAAATAAAATGAAATGGGGTTTGACATATTAACCCGAGAAAGATTTTTTTTAACTTGATTGAAAAGACAGGCGAACTTTCAAAAGAGAAAAGAATAATTATAATACTCACATTTCTTGTGCAAACAAAAACTACAGCTTTTAAATAAATCCAATTGTCAACAGACGGATTGAATACCACATACATGCACTAATAAACAATTTCTTATAAAACAGAATGCTAACAAGGCGTTTTGCAAACTTCAATCAACTTTTAATTCAAGTCGAAACTAATGAGTTTACTATAAAATCCGAATAATAACTCATAAACTTTTCAACTCAAAGAAATCCAAAACAATACTGCTGTGTTAGATATAAAAACACGTCTGTATCTCGACGTACAGGTTTATAAAACCCCGACACTGTCTGTGGTCTTTATTTTATATCAAGTCAGGAGCAATAATAAACTAAAGTGAATAAAAACACAAGTTTCTATCTCTCTCTCATAGAAACCACCTTATAATAGCCAACTAGAAACCTGTAAGAAGATAAGCAATGAAATCTGGCTCCTGTCTAGAACCTGGCCTTAATCAGCTGATCTTTAGATACATACAGTATTGTACAGATGGACTAATGCAGGTTAAAGTTGATGCCAAGATGCCTATTAAAGCCATCAGCGCGAATTCTTATTCACAAATCCTTAGAGCGGGGTTTTTTTTTTTTAACTTTTCCGTTTCTTATACTCCTTTCAGGTTCCTGATCGATTGTTATATTCCCCTTCCTCCTATAAATCCTTTCTATTTGAGAATTTTTTTTTCATGCAATATTGTTCATGTATAGCCTGAATAGAACGACTTAATTATAATATTCAAAAATTTTATTACAAGCACCTCCCACCCGAAAACTGCCAATATTTTAGCTCTGATCAAAATGCATCTCGGTTCTGTGCTTTATTCTATTCAAAAGTATTCCAAGTTGTACCACAATATGAAATACCTTAACCAACTTTGACAGGAAAGTTAGGAGAGCGCTATAGGAGATGTTCCTTTAAAATTCAATTATGTAAACAGAAATTGCCAGATAACAGAATATACAGACAGGACTAGCAAATGTTTTAAATCTATGGGATAAGAAGTGAACAAATGGAAATTAAAAGAAAACTAACGGTAAATTGCAATTTAATGGAGTGAAACTGACAAAGAACACGCATAAAGAACACAGACCTTTCTTTTAGCACATGTCATATTCCACACAATTTTTTGTTACGTTCAAGGTTTCGAAATATGAAGTCGTGTTACATGGGTAAACTGTAACTTATCATTGCAGGCAGAAATGTTCCTGTAAGTGATTCTATAGCAGACCTGTAACTTATCATAAAGACAGAAAGCGTCTTGATTCCATCAAAGATAAACTAAAAGGTGTTACAGTATCTGTTTGGTATCGTTACCTTGTTGTTGGTCGATTCAGATTGTATGTGCCCAACCGCGAAAATTCGTAAATTATTTTCTAAAACAGTAACTTCTAAAAAATCAACCTTTAAAGAACTGGTAGACATTGTACCATGTAGCTTAAATCTTGAGACTAGGCAAAGAGTGAACAAAACATATCACAATATTGGGCATCGCTACAGAAATCTTTGTATCGTCTCTGAATGTAATTGACAAAACATATCACAGATGAAAGCTAATTTCAAGCAGGTTATTTGGTATCCACTGTATGAAAGGGTGTCACAGCAGACCAAAAAAACTGGCACCAGAACTTCTTCCCATCTTGAAAAAATTGGACTTACCCTTTATTTTGTATTCTTATCTGTATTATTATTTGTATTTTCAAAAGCACTTGTCTGCTCATAAATATTGACTTTCAACCAAAACAATTACATTTGCATCAAAATTATGTTACCCTCGGGATGGTATGATTCCATTACCGTTATCATTTAGTTAATGGCCGTATTACTATTACAAATTTAATTATATGTGCACCTTTAAATAATTCTGATAATTGTAGAACTGTGTGAAAAGTGTGATAACAATCTAACGGGTCAGACAGAAATTTGATAATAACCGCCACATATTCTGTTTATCATTTTGAAAAATGCAGATAAAAATACCACGTCTTTATACCATTATATACTGCATAGTTACTGGTTATTGACATCAGCTGGAAATCTGGTGCAGAAAAGTACCTAGTCTTCTAGGCCAATAGGCGGAATATAGCATTGTTTTTGCACCTTGGCAGCATGATACACTTGTTAAGTATAAATCTACATGGTGCCAACACACATAGAGAAAACAGGTGAAACATTTCTTCCCATAAAAAATTAAATGAACATATTGAAGTATATACGTTTCAAGTGTGTTGCACCAGTGCATCTTGAATGTAATTGATTCATATCTTACATTGGCTTTGGAGCTTTTTGTCGAATTCTAATAGCGATTATGATTACTATAACTTCTACACGATGTGCGTGGTTAAACTATACATGAAGGGACTTATAATTCCCATGCGGTCTAAATTTTAAGAAAAGATTCACTCACCTTTTCAGAAGGTTTGACAGGTTTTAAAAAACATTTATTTTCCTCCGAAGATGCCATTCTTCTGAATTTCTACTAGAACAAATTTACTCGGTAACACGGAAGTTTAAAAGGATGTTCTTGTATTTTGAAGTCAGTTTTTGTATACAACTGAACACACTTGGACGTTGAGATTACTATGATAACTATTTACGAACATCCAAGGGACAAATCTGTACACCGTTGATTATCCACTCCTGTTTCTTGCCCCTATAACTGGCCTCTAATTTGTTGAGCTGTAGTCTCGTCTGCGATTGTTTACTAATTGAAGTATCTTAAAGACACGCCATTTAATGTTCGATATTATATAGGCTAACCATAACTTAGATGACCTCCTTTAACTTCACGACTGTTTACAAGGACAATTCACCATGTTAATGAAATATAGGCGTACAGTCGAGCAGACGACATTAGTGAATTATGTCACGTGATGTTGGAAATCCCTGCGTGAAAATGATGAACGAGAGAAAAGGAATTTCAAATCGAGTATTATTTAGGATGAATAAAGAACAATGAAATTTGGATTAGCTGATGAGAAGAATTGAAATTCATTCGCAGCTTTCGTGTTTATTTACAATAAAATTTTATTTATTTTTCACAGTCTATCAACAAATCAGAGTTCATTAGGTTAATTCAAATCAACGAGGATTAAACCCAGGGGATTTTAATCCCAGATTAAAATAATAGTACTCCTGCAGACAGAGTGTTGAGAGGCGCTGATTGGTCTAAAATGCAGATTCAAATATTGTAAATCAACAGAGTGTCGTCTGATAAGGTAAATAAACAAGGGGGATAATTCATAATAAAGATTAATTAAAAGAAATGCGTAATTATTTCAGTGTTTATTAATATTTATTTGGTAGAATATGATAACGAGCTTGTCAGACGCCTGGCGACTTCCATCTGAATTTTATTCCTATGTTTACAATACATAACCAACATGGCACTGTTATAGTCTCAAAGGATAATGGCGTTAGACTGATTCTAGACAAATTTTTAAATCTGTAATTTGTACCAACAGGATAGCCTTGTCTTCATATTATTCATTCAAAAACAGACAAAGCTGTCTTGTTAGATCTTGATGCAACAATGAAATGAAATGAAATTTTTCGATATCATAATTCGTTGAACCATCCAAACGACTTGACGCTTTTTCTCGCATCTTTTTTCAATAGAACATTGTTATTACGAACATAATACACAACGGTTTCTCAAACAAGCCAGAGCTTAATAGGTCCACTTGCCGGTTACCTTTCCGATCTGAACCACTAAGAAGCTAAATACTTTAGAAAAAACCTACAATATTTCCATCGAGATCTAAATTACGGCTTCTTCCTAGTCAGCTTTCATCCAATTATAGGACAATTAGTACTCAGTCGCATAGTCTTCAAATTGAGATTGTGAATTATTACCGAATGACTGCATATAATATTAGTATTAAAAATGAAAACTTTAATCTTCTCACAGTTAACAATATTAAGTTTTACGTCCAGCTTCCTACGTTAGAATTTTTCCAGGACCCCACCATGGCTCACCCTCTAAAAATCTGCAAAAGAAAGCTGGGGCGCTCGGATGCTTCCCAGACAATGAAATCCTCGCTACGCGCAAAGGGTAGAAATTTTAATGTGGCAGAAACATCTAACCGAAAAAAAACCCCAAAAATACCACTTTTTTGTTCGAATTTTTTTCAACATCGATTCGAGGCTACTTCGTTTTCTACGCTACTTGCCTTAATCTTATCTATCTCCGTCTCTTTGATACACTGGTGTCGAGACAACTATTATAATTCATTCTGACAGAGAATCAAACAATACTATCAGTGGAATGTTATTTGATATGATACCGGAAATAAGTCGGAAGTCTACAGCCAATATTGAATTTGATTGATAAGTTTGACTCGCGTCAAATTCTACACTTGATAAGCTGGGGTCATTACTCGCTACTGATCCTACTTCCAGATAAGTTGAAAGAGTTGCTTGATCCTCTCGAGCAGAACAACCACATTAAATCACGGACATCTTATCATCTCTATTGTCTATGGAGGCCAATATCAGTCATGATTATGGTTTATGGTGGCTCAAATCTGCCAAGATCAAAACCATAAGAATAATCTGTTTATTGGAGTAATGGATAAAATGGCTTATTGGTTTGTGTTGCTTCCATATCGTCATGTATCTTTAAGATGATTAAAGAGATATAATTCTCAAATAATTTCATAACCAACTAGGTTATAGCTATCGAAGTCGCTGCTAAAAATGATAATCTGACACAGAGTTCGTCTGCAAATTACTTTACATTAACGGTCGTCTTAAATTTATTAACATTCACTCATTCAGATGAGTATCACAAAAGATAGTCATAATGTTCATCCTTATGCTTACTCTAAACTAGGTTATAGCTATCGAAGTCGCTGCTAAAAATGATAATCTGACGCAGAGTTCGTCTGCAAATTACTTTACATTAACGGTCGTCTTAAATTTATTAACATTCACTCATTCAGATGAGTATCACAAAAGACAGTCATAATGTTCATCCTTATGCTTACTTTAATCTTATTTAATTTATGTCTATTTCACATAAAATATGCACAAATAAAGTGAGGCAAGTCAGTATACAGAGCTACACAGTGAAAAAAAAACTTACTGTTAATGTTTCAATACAATGTTGAATCAAGACTCGTTTAAGTGTTTTTTCTTGAAGTAAATAGGACCAAACGCTGTCTTATATTTATAGTTTTGGCATTTATTAAAATATTGTCACGAGACAATCCGTCAGAGTGGATTTCCCGATTTGTTAATTTCTATCAAATCCTTATTTTTA